CGCCGTTTCACACCTGGCATACGCACCCAACTTGAGAACCTTTGCTGTAATGCCTCTGTCGTGTCAGCAGGCAAGACCTTGCCAGCTACTGTACCACGCAACCAGGTCGCAGTTCCCCCGCTACGACAGACAGGCAACAGCAACTATGAGATCATAAGAGAACAAGTCGGCACAGAACCAATTTTGGATTACATACAAAGACAGCAAGTGAAATCGTTTGCCCACTTAGAGAGAATGCCTTGTGACACCATACCATACAAAGCATACATGGAAAGAGAAGAAGGACGCACGGGGTAGACCAAGAACAAGATGGGAGGATAACATCAGAGAAACTCTACAACAGCACGATGTGCCTTTGGTCGAGGCAGCCAGAAGAGCTAGAAACAGAACCTTATTTCTCCCTTGACACCCACAGCGGTAAAAGAGGAAGTGAAGAAGAAGAAGAAGAACTATTGTGTTAATGAGAGAGTTATTTCAGTCCATCACAGTGTATGCAGAAAAGGGTGTAAGGTGACCACTATTCGTATTCGGCCCGACCGCAAGCATTCGGCCAAATACCGAATTGTTATTAGGTCCACTGAAGCGAACACGAAGCGAATATTCGGTACAGCCCTAGTATGTCTGTCTGTCTGTCTTTTTGTATGTATGTATATATGTATTTGTGTCTGTCTGTCTGTCTGTCTGTCTGTCTGTCTGTCTGTCTGTCTGTCTGTCTGTCTGTCTGTCTGTCTGTCTGTCTGTCTGTCTGTCTGTCTGTCTGTCTGTCTGTCTGTCTGTCTGTCTGTCTGTATGTGTGCATGTTTGTGAAAGATGAGTGTTTGGAAATATAATTCAACCGTTTGTTCTTTGGTTCGTTTTCTGCAACTATATTTTTTGTTTCTTACTTATGCATTTTTGTGTGACCCGCATTTTTAATAATCCAAGCAGTACATTCTAAACGAGTCATTAGTTACAGCCAGTCAACAATTTCAGGCTATGGCTTCAAGACGAGATTTCTGATTCACATTGCAGCGAATTATTACAAATATGTGCGATGCACGTTAAGTCGCCCTCGATATGTAAAGAAAAAAAAAAGTGATACGAATGCATTACCTTACAGTACAAGGCATTTGCATTTAAATTGATTAAAAAAGGACAGGTACGTAAGTCACCCAATTGAATCATAAACAGTGTAAAACAATGATACATTATATATACCATATGCTCTTGCTCAGTCACGAATCACTAAATTAACTAAGAACATTTCAGCCTAATATAATACAAGATAACAGACTTTTCAGTATTTATGTCACTATCAACAAACAAATAATGAATAAAAAAATAACAATTAATGGCTATCTTCCCAATAACGGCACAAAATATGGCGGCCAATGCGAGCCAAAAACAGGGCCTCAGTCACGTGTCAATTGCGCATTTTTGGCTACGTAATTTGCAGTTTTCTGGTGACTACCGCCACGCCGAGAGTATCCCATACGCCGCTCATGCGTCGTGGATTGGCGCTAAACTAGATGGCTAGGACTCACGAGCAAAGCTGCAGGAGATGCGGAAGCTGCTGCTCGTGAGTCCCAGCCATCTAGTTTAGCCCCAATCCACGCCGCATGAGTTGCATGGGGGATACTCTCGGCGGTGGCGGGCGTCGCCGGAAAACCGCAAATTAGATCGCTGGAAGTGCGCACTTGACATGTGACTGAGGCTCTGTTAGGGTATTTTTGCGGCCGCCATATTTTGTGCCCGTTATTCGGAGGATAGCCCAGTTAATATAATATTAAAATTCATTGCATTAAAAAATCTCAGAAACCACAACTCCTAGTGACCATTAAATTACTGGGCTATCCTCCGAATAACGGCCACATATTATGGCAGCCCCAAAAACACCCCAACAGGGCCTCAGTCATGTGTAAATTGTGGACTTCCTGTGACTTAAATTGCACATTTCCGGCGACTACCGCCACCACCGAGAGTATCTCCCATGCTGTTACGCGCGGCGTGGATTGGGGCTAAACTAGATGGCTGGGACTCACGAGCAGCAGCTTCTGCATTTCCTGCAGCTTTGCTTGTGAATCTCAGCCATCTAGTTTAGCCCCAATTCATGCAGCACGTAGTAGCGTGGGAGATACTCTCAGCGGTGCCGGAAGTCCGCAATTTACATGTGACTGAGGCCCTGTTTTTGGCCGCCATAATATTTGGCCGTTATTCTTAGGATAGCCAATTACTGTAAATGAAGACATTGATGGGTGATGAATGCAAGCAGCATATTTAATTAATACAATGTTAGTAACTGTAGTGAATAAAACTGAACACCAAAGGACACCAGTAATTGAATATATGACCTGCTGCAAAACCTAGGACAGTGGAAAACATGGTTAAAGATAGATAGCTCTAGACCAGGGTTATTATTCAACTTAGTTAACTCAGAAGTCAAAATTTTGAGAATGGTATCGCCAAGAGCCAGCGGCATGATTCTCAGCATAGAAAGATCACTGCTACAGTACAGCTTGTGATTATCCGCAGGCCTCTGTGGGCCACATTTAACCCGTGGGCTGCCAGTTGAATAGCCCTCCCCAGGACTATAAGTCAAATAGCCCTCCCCTAGACTATAGGACAAATAGCCCTCCCCTAGACTATAAGACAAATAGCCCTCCCCTAGACTATAAGACAAATAGCCCTCCCCTAGACTATATGACAAATAGCCCTCCCCTAGACTATATGACAAATAGCTCTCCCCTAGACTATAAGACAAATAGCCCTTCCCTAGACTATATGACAAATAGCTCTCCCCTAGACTATATGACAAATAGCTCTCCCCTAGACTATATGACAAATAGCCCTCTCCTAGACTATAAGACAAATAGCCCTCTTATAGACTATAAGACAAATAGCCCTTCCCTAGACTATATGACAAATAGCCCTCCCCTAGACTATAAGACAAATAGCCCTCCCCTAGACTATATGACAAATAGCCCTCCCCTAGACTATAAGACAAATAGCCCTCCCCTATACTATATGACAAATAGCCCTCCCCTAGACTATAAGACAAATAGCCCTCCCCTATACTATATGACAAATAGCCCTCCCCTAGACTATAAGACAAATAGCCCTCCCCTAGACTATAAGACAAATAGCCCTCCCCTAGACTATAAGACAAATAGCCCTCCCCTAGACTATAAGACAAATAGCCCTCCCCTAGACTATAAGACAAATAGCCCTCCCCTAGACTATATGACAAATAGCCCTCACCTAGACTATAAGACAAATAGCCCTCCCCTAGACTATAAGACAAATAGCCCTCCCCTAGACTATATGACAAATAGCCCTCCCCTAGACTATAAGACAAATAGCCCTCCCCTAGACTATATGACAAATAGCCCTCCCCTAGACTATATGACAAATAGCCCTCCCCTAGACTATAAGACAAATAGCCCTCACCTAGACTATAAGACAAATAGCCCTCCCCTAGACTATAAGACAAATGGCCCTTCCCTAAACTATAAGACAAATAGCCCTCCCCTAGACTATATGACAAATAGCCCTTCCCTAAACTATAAGACAAATAGCCCTCCCCTAGACTATAAGACAAATAGCCCTTCCCTAAACTATAAGACAAATAGCCCTCCCTAGACTTTAAAACAGTGCTTTCACCAGATTGTAAACATTTTTTCCCCAGAAAATAAGAGGATTATTTGTTTCTCATGAGTATGGCTTGGGAGTCGACACAACCTCGTAAAATTGTCATGAAATTCATAGTTTTCAGAATTTCTTGGGAAGAAAGGGTGCGGGGGAAAGGGACTTGGCCATCCGACCTCAGAGGTCAAGGCCTAGAATATGTAAAGGCTGAAAACTTCCCCCGCAGCTGCAGTATGCAAGATGAGACTACCTTTTTTTTTTATCTTTGTCTCTTCCACCTTCTTCTTCTTCTTCTGCATTTTCCTTTAACTCTTTCAGTCTCAAGGAACACCTCATATGTTCATAGGTTCCTACCTAGAAGGCCACTGAAGGCAACATATGCCAAGTTTTATGTCTCTCTTGACTAACCCTCAAGCCTCTGATGCTGAACCTCCTGGGATTGAAAAAGTTAAAAGGTGGTTGGAAAAATATCTTGTAGTTTACAGCTAGACTACAATATCTGAGCCTTTCATTACAACATATCTGATTTCAGCAAGCTTTGCATCTTAATCCATTAATTGGTGTATGAAAGTTTTCATAATTACTATTATCCTCAGTTATTGTTTGTGGCTGACAGATTATAAATACAGCTCCATAATTCTAATATGCAGATTCAGTTAAGCAGCAGGAACTTTGGTGGCAGATCACTTTGCATTGATATTGATAATAGGCTGAGTGTCAACCATTCTGGAAGCAGTTGCAGCAAATAACTGATTGTAAAATTGCCATGTAACTGACTGATGTCTAACCCCACCAGGACATCACACCTAGTGATAAACACCCGGTGACACAAAGTGCCACCATTCGGATGAGGATCACATAGGAACAGGTCGCAGAAACCTCTTTCAACCCATAGATTGGGTTAAATTACCATGTAACTGACTGGTGTTCAACCCCACCAAGACATCACACTGAGCAATAAACACCTGGTGACACAAAGTGCCACCATTTGGATAAGGATCACAAGGGGATAGGTCACAGAAACCCCTTTCAACCCATAGGTTGGGTTATATTAGGGCCCTTGGCAACAGCTAGGGTGGGACTTTAAAACAGTAAATAAAACATTGCGTCTGGCATTGGAACGCAGTGTTTACTTTTATTACCATGTAAAGGCACAAACAGCTAACAAATCATGGGATTGGTTGGCATCATCCTGTAAAAGATGTGCAACTAACTTATGATCCTAACAGATAAAAAAAAGGAACTCACACAAACTGACCGGTAGGTCCCTGCAGTGTATCTGTGTAAACAAAAATTAAATGAAATGTTGAATATTTTTGTTTGAGACAAATCTAATTGTTATATCATTGTGTATTTCTACAGCAAAAACAAAAGAAATGGAAAATTTTGTTCTATATGAAGAGTTGACAAAGGGAGCTAATACTGTTGTTTACAAGGGCAGACGCAAGGGAACAATTAACTTTGTGGCAATTCACTGTATTGATAAATGCAAGCGACCAGAAGTTACAAATATGGTGAGTTGATGACAAAGGACTTTTAGATAGCAATATAAAACGACACAACATACACACAGTTTTTGTTCCAGCTTTCAGTTATTTTTGTCACACTTGGACATTAACCAAAGAACATAAGAGAAAAGTAACCATCTGTGTAATTAGATGTTTGAGAAATACCCATTGTCAAGTTCAATGAGAATTTACTGCAGAGGAATGAAACTCCGACTCTACAAGAGCATCATTTTGCCAGTTCTTCTTTATGGAGCGGAATGCTGGAGAATGACCAAAAAGGATGCACACAAGCTGTCCACCTTCCACCACGCATGTCTACGTAGAATTATCAAAATTTTCTGGCCAGATACAATCTCAAACACTAAACTACTTCAAGCCACAAACCAAGAAACTTTAGACAGTATGATTACCAAGAGAAGATGGAAATGGCTTGGCCACGTTATTCTTCTTCTTCAGCAATCTCTGGTCATGTGCATAATCCACTGTGGGTCATAAACTGGGATGCCACGTTATGAGAATAACTTCTGATATACCTGCCAAAACAGCTCTCACATGGACACCAGAGGGAAAGAGAAAACAGGGGCGCCGAAAAAACAACATGGAGACGAACGATGGAAAGTGACCTGAGTGCGGCATCTTTGACATGGAAAACTGCACTGAAGATTGCACAGGACAGGAAAGCATGGAAAGTCCTCTCTGAAGCCTCATGTGCCACTAGGCATAACGAGAACTGATGAAGTTCATTGAGAAACAGAGGCTGAAATTGTTTGGCCACCTGGTGAGAAGGAATTCTTCGATGTTGATACCAAGAGCGTGTGACATGAAAATGGAAATCCCAGGTGGCAGATGGAGACCTAGAAAAAGTTGGACTGAAAAAAACCAGATATTGACTAAAAAAGAAGAAAACATTTTTTACGTATGATTGATGACCTTTCTCTGTGATTTTTCACGTAAATTTTGATTTTACTATAGTTGTTTGAATAATAACACATTTTCAGTATATGATTGATATTATACATTGTTGTAAGAAAAATATTTAAAATTATAAAAATGAGATAGTAATAGTTATCAATAATGAATATTCACTGTCGATTTTTTAAACTTTAGAGCGGCCGTGGTCTAGCAGCTAGACGCTCGCCTGCGGTTTGGAAGGTCGTGGGTTTGGTTCCTGACGGGGGCCGGAATCTTTTCAAAAATGATTTTGGCTTCCAGTTTGACCCAGCCTTCAGGTGGTACACCAGGTACAGTCCTGGGAAGTAAAGCTGGCAGGTGTTATGTTGACCACATCACATGTTTGGTCTATAAAATATAGGACTAGCCCTATATACAAAGTATGCATGAAAGGTGGGGAAAAGGGTCCTTTACTTTAAATTTTTTAAACTTTTAAATACAGCCTGAGTTACTGCCCTCACACCTTTCAAGAAAAAAAATGTGATTGTGTGTGTTTAAAAAAAAAAAATTGTATGACACATGTACAAATAACAAGTGCAATGAAGATGTCTTGACAGAAATGAACTAACAAAGAGTACTTATTACCTGCACCATATTTTTTTTCTATTCTGCCCCTGACATTGTTGTGACTTATTTGTTTATCTCAGTTCATCCCTTTATATTAATTGATTCTTTAATAATCCACATTTATATTAATACTTTTGAAATGTGGAATAACCTACTACTGCATTTGTTCTTTCAGGTGCGAATGACTCATGATATTGAGCATGAGAATGTTGTCAAGTTCTATGAGTGGTATGAAACCAGCAACCATTTATGGATGGTGGTTGAGCTGTGCAATGGTGGAAGTCTAGAAACACTGATCGCCCAGGACAGCAACCTTCCGGAGTCAGCTGTGAGATCACTTGGAGTCCAGCTTGTCACTGGTCTTCATTATATACATTCTCATAATATTTTGTTTCACGACCTCTGCCCCAGCAAGGTGATAATTTTTAAACATTTTACTTATATGCTTATTTTCAAGAAAGGACTGAATTCACAATGCTTTATATATATATATATATATATATATATATATATATATATATATATATATATATATATGTGTGTGTGTGTGTGTGAGTGTGTGTGTGTGTGTGTGTGTGTGTGTGTGTACATTAAAAAGCATCAACCCTTTTCATATCACTGGCACATCAGGCATATGGCTCTAGACTAGGGGTGGGCAACTTTTATTTTCTTCACTGGCCACATCTAGAATTCCTAACCTGGTTGCAGGCCATATGGAAAAATCTCCATTATAAACATGACACCCACATTTCCTGGTAACACAATAGTTTTGTGAGATAATCTAAGATTATAATCCCTCACTGTACCTCTGACCAGAGACATTCACCCTTCTGGATATTCCTAGATGCTTAAGGGCCTCAGGCATGGTGCACTGGCCTGCCAGGCAGCATAGGTTGCACAGGCAGAGAAACGGAGGCAGACTAGAGAGAATCATACTGCTAATCCCACACCTACTGCGGCTTCCATCTATTGTCCGCTTTGCTCAAGAACTTTCCTGGCTCATATTGGACTAATCAGCCACCTTCGTATTCATAATCATTGATCATTACTACTTTGGATGAAAATTATCTTCATCACTCATGATGGACGAACATAATATATAAAAATTTTACACCAGCCTCTCAAGCTAGGAAAAATTACTCAGCTGGTCAAATTTGGCCAGCTGACTAGATTTAGCCCACAGACTATAGTTTGGCCACCCCTGTTCTAGACCCATATTTTGAGAGATCAATCAGCTTTGATGAATGATGTCATCAACATCTTGCTGGCCTCCTTTTTCTTCCCAGAATATTTTCTGGTACCAGTTTTAGGATGGGTCAATCTGGCGGCAAATCTGTCAGATGTGGATTCAAACACGAGATGTTTGGATGAGCAGGCAAGCATCTAGCCATCTTCCTACCATTATTAAATATTGTGAATGTATAAAACACAGCAATGCGGCAGCTTCTCCAGCATGCTTTGTTTAAAACTTCTTTGTGCTACCTTTCCTTTGGAGTAAACAAAGCAGGCCCAGATAGAGATAGTGATGAATGGGCAACACATATCTCTATAAATATACCCAGGCTATGAAACATGCAGGTGTGTCTCAGTTCTCCCCATAGCACTGTATAAAAATCATCTGAAAAGACAGAAAATTACCAGTCAATCAAAGTACAGGTCAGTCGTTCTCAATACCTAGGCTCCACTGTGAAATCTGATGGAAGATTTGACACAGAGATAGAATAATTACTCGATAGAGAGATAGAAGCCAGAGTACAGAAGACACATGCTGTCATCTGCCAGTTAGCCCCTCTGCTTAGACACCCAAATGTCTCCCTTCCAGCAAAACAGTATATGATTAATAGCATCTTTCCCCTACTTTATGTTATCAGTGCCAAACAAGGACAATGAATAGGGCACTAGAACATAAAATAACTACATATGAAATAAGCTGTCTCTGCAAGGTCACTAGCAACACTAGACGAGACAGGGTTATGAATACCAGCATTAGAGAAAAAGCTGGAATAAGACCATGTCTGGATTATATTGACAACGAAAGAAATGGTTTAGCTATCTAGTGAGAATGCAGCCAGACCAGACTGCATATGAGACTTTTTTACAGAAGAACATCAGGAAGGAAGGCGAAAGGAAGACCAAGAAAGAGATAGATAAATGGTGTAGCTAAAACCTGCAAAAAGATTAACAAAATCATCACTCAAGTCACTTGAGAAGTGCAAGAAGCAGAAGACAGAATAATTGCTGTATGCCGTTATTCTTTTACCAGGATGAAAACACCATCATTAAAAATGGATATATCATGACAATAACAATTATTCACCGACTGAAAAGCAGTGTGAGCCATTCTAGAATATTTGTGCCATCTACACAATAAAGGAGGTATGTTGCAATTTATCCCCTGAAAACTGGAATACCTCATGACAGTAAGTAATATAATTAGGAAAAGAAGTAGAGGGAGACCTAGAGAGAAGATGCTGGGCATCATGGCATGAAAGATCATCAGTGTTAGAAATAATTAAAAGTATAGGAGACAAGGTTGTGGATATGCATAACTTCAAATGACACATGGCATGGACTATAAGAAGAAGAAGAAGAATGTTAAAATGACAGCTATTAAAAGGAGTTTGCCTTGCTTGTCACCTTATAACTATGCAGGTAGTTACCTATATGCCTATATTACATTTGGTATCTTCATTTATCATCATCATCATCATCTGCCATTAAGTGTCGTGGGGAAGAATAATTTGCGAACCAGTAACTTAATTTGTTGTGATAACTTTAGATTCTGCTGGACACCATTGGAGTTTTGAAGTTGGCCGATTTTGGCTTGTCTAAAGTTGAAGGAGAGAATCTGGATGAACTCTTCTTGAAGTTTGCTGAAGCTGGAGAACATTGGAACATAGAAACAGTTGAGGAGATAATGAAACACAACAAATCTTCTGGTTTGTACTTTCAGACTATATGTTGACCCTAACTTCTATAAGTAGGCCTGGTATGCTATGATTTCGGGTCTTAACTCAGGGGCCCTATTATAGAGGAAAAAAAATATACCCACTGCCTACCCAAAAGCATGTTGTAAGAGTTGACTATTTGGGAGCTTCCTTCAAAGTCAGGATTGCATCTGCCTGAGAGGCAAGGAATCAGCAGTCTGCAAACAAATTAGTCAGATCTGTAAAACAGTTGCACATGCAACACTCAGGTTTTAGAACAGGACTGGAGTCCAGGAATGGATGAACAACCAGAACTTTCCGCCAGAGTTTACAGCTGGTAAACACAGAGAAGAAGAAGGAGAAATCAGAAATCAGTAATGTTGAAAACTGTGAGTGGTAAACATACCCATGTGTTTGTCTTTCTTCTTCTTCTTCTTTTTTTGTCGTCTCACTGATACCATATTGTAGCACAGTGTTGTGGTTTTCTTTATTTGTCTTGCACTTCTCAGGTGGCTTGAACAATGGATTTGTTATTCTTTTTGTAGTTTACGGCTACACTATTTATCCATTTCTTTCTTGGTCTTCCACTCGCATTCCTTCTTGATGTTGTATTGTAACAAGTCTCATATGCCGTCTCGTCTGGCTGTGTTTGAATCCTCAAATATACAACTTTAAAAAAAAGTTTTTTTTTAGTTTAATTTTTACTGTTATTATTTTTTTGGTCTTGTTGTTTTGCTTTTGTATCTGAGAATAAAACAGTTTTTAAATGTGTGAATTTACCAGGTTCCGTGATGTATATGGCACCAGAGTTGGTGCAGGGTGCAGAACCAAGTGTGCTGAGTGATTTGTGGTCCTTGGGCTGTGTCCTGTATGAAATGTTTGCAGGTAATGCCGAATTACAAAATCTAACATATAGTAGAGACTTTTTGCTAATTTGTGTTTGTTCATTACATCTTGGGTGTTAATTGTATTCTAGCAGTATTAAACAAAAATGCTTGTCATCTCCAACATTGGAGATTGGCTAAAGTGTATCCATTAACTGATCAATTTGTTTGTCCACTCTGGGCCGCTACCAAGTTAGTTAGTTAGTTAGTCGACAGACTATCCTCATCACACATCAAACTATTTATATTTAGTCCATAAGGACTGAAATCCCCTCTTCAGCATCTCCCTCAATGTGTAGTGGCTTATGACACCAGTTATGTGTGTTATGTGTTAGTTTACTATTCTTCTATAGGCCCTTGTGCAGCGCTCTTGTCTGGCTTCAACCCTTTTGGTGTTATGTTTATGTATTTATATTGCCACCTAAAGGTTTGCCATCCTAAGATTTAAAAATTTTAATTTGGACAAATAACAGATCCCTTATAAATAAAGAAATTCAGTCACTCCTAAATAGTAAACTCATTAGCGAGACGACTGCAAAATTACTCGATCCACATGGCTCACAGATCCCTCAGATGTATGGGCTCTCTAAGCTACATAAGGCCCGCACACCTATGAGGCCGATCTTGTCTATGATAAACTCTGCTCAGCATCAAACTGCGAAATGGTTAGCAGAAATACTTTTACCAGTAAAGCAGTCTTTTGAAAATAGAACATTGAAAGATACGTTTGAGCTTACTAAACTGCTTGACATAATTGATCTAAAATATAAACATATGGCTTCTATAGACATATCATCTTTGTTCAACAATGTGCCATTGGAAGAAACCATCAAAATTATAATTGTTCAAATAAAGGATAAGAAACTTAAACTGGACATTCCTACGTCCACATTGGTCAGACTGCTGCGCCTCTGCACAGCAAATGTTAAATTTAATTTCCTTGAAACGAGATACCGCCAAATTGATGGAGTAGCCATAAGTAGCCCACTAGGTCCCATCTTGGCCGACATCTTCATGGCATATCTCGAAAATAGCAGATCTGCCCACATCAGGGATTTGTTTTTGTACCATCGGTATGTAGATGACATTTTAATAATAACTGCTGACAAACAGCAAGCCACTGCGTTCCATACCTCCATGAACCAGTCACACAGAAACATCACATTATCGTTACAACACGAACATGACGGCACTTTACCATTCCTTGATGTAGTTACTGCACATAGAGAGGATGGCAGTATCCAAAGATCCGTGTACCGAAAAGAAACATGGATCTTCCAGTATCTAAACTTTTACAGTTTCGTACCTATTCAGTACAAAATTTGTGTAGTTAGTTTCTTGTTCAACCAGGCCAGAAAGATTTGCACCAAAGACACACTGGCTGCAGAAATTAAAACTCTCAATTCAACTTTACTACTGAATGGGTACCCCATAGGTTTCATCAAACGTCATTGCACCCCACCCAACCCTTCCCCGAACAAAATTACAGTATCCAAACTACGAGTATATATTCAACTTACTTATCGAGGTGATGACCTCATGCAGCATCTGCAAGACCAACTAAAAACAGCAGTTGGCCAAACATTCTTTGCGGCTGTTCCAGTAGTGAGGTACAAAACCACTCCTATCCCAACCCCACCTATTAAACAGCTCTTTTCTCCGTACACCGAATCTAATTGTATTTACCAATTTACATGTAAGTGCCAGTTGACTTACATTGGTTGAACGGAGAGACAGCTTGGAAATAGAGTGGCAGAGCACATACCAAAATGGCTACATACACAGCTCAGTGATTCTTCTAGGATGTCAAGTCCAGTCAAGAGGAAAGAACCCGCTTCTTCCATAGGATGTTATCTACTTTATTCTGGACACATAATTGACACGTACAGTGATTTCCGTGTGGCTCTAGTACCAGTCTCAGCCACAAAAGTAGTCTTTTCCTAATCCATCTGCCATGGCAGTTAAACACCCTTTCTTGGAGGTGTTTGAATTAATGATTTTCCTAATCTCTAAGCCATAGGTAAAGTAAAGTTAAAGAACTCTTTCCACGCCACTGAGCATGTTGGGCATAGAGTGCTAGACTTATATTTTGTAAATCAGTCAACACTCAGTAGGTGATGCGGTCAACTTACATAGACCACCTTAACTTCCCAAGACTTTGCCTGGTACACATTTTAGGGTGGGTCACCCTGAGAGCTAAGGTCATAAAAAAAAAAATGGTCGATGCAGATTAAAGTCTACAACCTTCGGACCCGAGGCCTAAGCTTCTAACCGCCGTACCACAGCAGCTGTCTGTAAATCATACAGTTACACTAAAAAAATTACATCACAGATATCCATTATATGCAAAAGAAATTTGGGCCAAATCAAATATGCATAATTCTTGAGTACACCAGTTATGGGAGATTTGTTACTTTTAAGTTACATCAGGCTGTGACTCAGTTCCCTCATTTTATATTCAACACATGCTGAAAACCTCAAACATAAGGACACTGAATTCTTTCTGACTTGGAAGTAGTTTAGATATATCACTTGGAGCAGTGCAACATGAAATCCATGCAGAGCTCACAGTCACTACATCAGCTAGTATAGTCCAGGAGTCCTTAGTGTAAACATTCTAAGAAACATGTGTAGGAGAAGATTGGAGCACTTATGAGGATACCCATTGTGCAGTGAAGATGGTCCTCAAGTTAAAAGTTAATGTTATAGTGAAGAGGATCGACTTCATTGCACTGAGTTTAGCCTCATATGGCTTGGTCTCTCACACAAAGCACGAGCTGAATAACTCAGGTGATGATCCTCAGTGATCTTCCTTAAAAAAAAACTGCACTTATGTACCAGTGGCGCAGCCACGAAACAAACCCATGACCTTTAGAACTCAAGTCAAGGGGTCAGACCTCTTCGCCATGAAGACCCTCCCAAAAAGTTGATCCTGAGATAAACAATAGACAACAATGTCATGTTGTAGTTAAAAATTACATTGTTTTGAAACTCAGAGCACTACCATTGTGTACTTCATCAGGACCAAGCAAAACCTGAATAGAAGAGTTGTGCACAGATGCATCAGTACAGACAGCTATGGAATCAAATGGATGTGGTCCAAGGGAGACAGTTATAGAATGGAATTATAAGAAAACTTTAAGCTGAGACTAAGGGTTAAATTACTTGGTAATGACTGAAGCTGCAATTTAATTTGATTAACCCTTTCGCTGCTGCGCCCACCGCCAGCCCACGTAACCACTGTGCTAAGCCAGGCGAGAGCTAATCTTTCCCCCTGTGCTGAATACCGTTTTTTCCTTCAAATGCAGAAGATGCGTTTGCGGCACGGGGTAAAAATTGTACAACTAAAATAAAAAATCGTTGAAGGTGTGTGGTTGAACTTTGTGCTGACAAGTCAGACGCGCTATTACTACGCCATGAAAACTCATTAACAAAAAGAAAACACTACAAGCTTACAAAGCAAACACAAAGCACTTTAGTAAGCAAATACATGGTATTTATTATTATTAATAATATCTTTTTGTGTGAAATATTTCAAAACAAGGTGCGACACACAATGCCAAATCACATTCCTTGCACATGTCTCTGGTTTCCGGTCGTTTTTTGCTTTTTGCGCATACCACACACTTTCTTGTTGGGAATTTTTTATGCGATGTTACGGACTCTGTTATTGAAGGGAAATGCCTTTGTACTAAACGAAGTGGCAGATCTTCACTTTTTTGTCCTCCTACACTTTTTCTCTTTGCCTTGCAATATTTCTGTAGAATTGCTCTTACTAACATTAAGTGAAATTCGGCAACAGGTGTGTTTTTCCCCCACAACAACTTTATATAAAGAATGTGCACAGTACACCAACCACGCTGCACAAAGGACAGGCTAACGTGTAAAGCATCTAAATCCACCTGAACGCAAGTGACAGGATGTTTAATTAATTATTACTTCGGTGATCTGTTGCCGAAAATGCTTAGAGCTTAAATTTAAAATTTGCATTTAAAATAATTAATTTAAAAAAAAAAAACGGCACGTAGGGGTTGAACGCTGGACCTTTCGATTGTAAGGCAGACGTGATACCAACTACACTAGAAATTCACATGTAACTATGAACTGAAAAAAAGACACTTTAATAGACAAACACATTTATGTCAGTTGTATAGTATATTATTAACATTAATATTATTCATCATGTCAGTACGTGACCATATCTTTATTTTGATTATTTTGGATCCGTTTCAAATCCAGTCGATGTAGATAGCTAGGTCATATGGTCACTGGTCAGTCTTGCTCACAGCCAGAAGTACACATGTCCGCCGGCGTGCCGCAAAGATAACCCAGCTCATATAACTCACACGTTTCAAAGTGATCCTTACTACTACTCCTTGAAAGAAACTCCATTAATTCTTCTTTATTTAAACAAATGTTCTTGTTATTTTGTATTTAAAAAAAAATTAGACTAACGCAAAACCAGAAATATATTTCAGGGCAAAAAAATTACCGTTCACCAACAATGCTTCTATGGTAATAAAGCAACAGGATGACGTGAAATGCATCTAAATACGCCTAAACTCACGTGATAAGGGTTTTAATTGTATGTAAATGGGTCAGTTTGATCAGATTAAGGTAATGTGTATTGCTATTTCACCCCTAAGAATTACTGTTCTTAGCAATCTGTAAAAAAATGTCGAGGACGAGTTATCTCATCCTTAGCAGTGAGGGCACAGAAAATGGCAGCCGAGTTATCTCATCTTTAGCAGCGAAAGGGTTAAGGAAAGCTTGGCAGTCATGGGATGTCACTCTTAGAGATCATGCTTAATTGGACCATTTATGTTGAAAACATTTAATTGTAATTACTGTTTAATAATTGCAGGTCATCCACCATTTCTTGCTGAAAAAGAAGAACACATCAAGGAAAGAATACTCTCAACAGATTTCCCTATACCAAAGGTCAAAGGTTAGTCAGTGTCTAAAATAATCTATACGAATGTGACATTTAAACAAAAAACATAATAAAATATGTCTATTTTCGTTATTTACTGGAAGAACAAATTATAGACCGCTACCTCCCTAACAAGCAAGGCGATTGATTAGGCAAGTTTCCTTCGAAGTCAAAGTGCATCTGCCTCAGAAACGAAGAACAACTAGTTTGCACACAGAAAGCCAGATCTGAAAAATGTACATGCACGCAAAACTCCACTCCTGGAACAAGACCACAGTCCAGAAATGGATGAACAACCAGAACATTTCACTGGAGTTTTCAGATGGTGAACACAAAGAAGGAGAAAATTTGCTGTGGGAAAAATATATAAGGTAAAATTGCAAATTATGTTTTAATGATTACTTATTAGACTGAAATTGTCTATTTCTATTTCATAACTATTCTCAGGGTTAAGACTGTCAGCAAAACCATCAGCAGAGTTTTTGAGTTTGCTGGAAGGACTGTTAAACAAAGATCCATCCAAGAGGTAATGTACAGTATTTTACCTGAAATTATTTCTTGATCCTTGTTTCAGAGGGATATAAGATAGCTTAGTTATCTGTGTATCCTTTACAGGATGTCGCAAAATAAATAACTCTGCCATTTGTTGGTTATTTTGGGTTTTACTAGGTAATTTTATGTTCAGTATTCTGTCATTGCTTTCTAAATAGTTTGCTCTCAATGCCCTGTCACAGTCAACACAAGGCAGTCTGCTGCCAAATCAATTGCGCCTGGAATCAGCATTATAAAGCGCATTTACAATGCATTAGTCACATATATATTCACAGAAAGCTTACATAGAACTATTTCAACTTAATCTGTAACCAAATGCTAGTGATGTTGTTTTCATACCCTATTTGCTATTTATTTCAAAACAGTCCTTGAACTTATCAGAATGTTTTTCTTCTTCTCCTTCTCCTCCCCTCCCTCCTCCTCCTCCTTCTTCTTTTTGTTCTTCTTCACCGTCGTCTTCTTTTAAGGCTTTAAGAAAGGCTGACTATCACTTTAATTTTTGATATTTTTTCCCCTCATAAACATTGAAGTCTTACATTGATGTTTTGATTATCATTTTTTCTTTTGTCCATATATTGCTGCTTTCTGCCAGCAGGCATCACAGGTGTCTGAGCTAGAGCGTGCTCGGTTTCCCAGTATGCTGTGATATTGTGGAGTTTCAGAGTATCAGTGAATCTTTTAGTCTATCTCCTTCTTGGTCATTCACTACCTCTTGATGTTTCTATTTTCATGCTGTTTGCTGTCATCACTGGCATCTTTGGATTCATTCTTGTTTAATGGCCAAATCACGGTGCAGGTCAGTCTTCTCATCTGGCCCCATCAAGGCATTTCTCTCTTTGCCTTCCCCTTGCTCTCTACCCATCAATCTTGCCAGTTGCTACCCAAAATGCTCGAGTCCATTGCTTCTCATAACATGTTAAAAACAAACAACAACACTGTCTTCATCTATCACTCTATGATATTCTTTGCATTCATCTCAAAGAAGAAAATCTCTGTTTGCTGTATAGTATGTGACATTTCATTTTATGTTTGTATAGAATGACCTGGTCTGAGCTTGTCAACCACCCGTTCTGGCAAGGAGAGCTGTCCAAGTTGGCCAAAGATCTATCACCTTTTTCTGTTGTTCGGGCTAGTCAGGTGTCTGTAGTTGGGTCATCCTCAGTGTATGAGCAGGGTGATGGGTCTTTGCTTGGGCAGGTTAAAGCAGTGGATGCAAGACGAAGTATGGAGCCGCCTATGATTAATCTGGACATCGCTGATGGCAGTAGACCGGGTATTGACTGTTGTTCAGCTTTTATTATTATTTACCTTTCTATTTTCTATATGTTTGTTTTGTTTATTTAATAAATTTATGTTTAAAAATAAAATTCAATGAAGATGTCTTGAAAGAAATTAACTTAAAAAGAAAATTTATTAGCCGAAACAATCTATACTATTGAAGAAAGAAAACTCAGTTGCCCGCTGGTGCTTTCCTGTTCAGAAATTAAAAAAAAAAAAAAAAAAACAGAAATGCAGTTGTCTAATGGCATTCTCCTATTTCCTGTTAGCTGACTGGAAAGCCTGAATGCCAAAAATCTTTAGATGGACAAACCAAATGTAAAAGAACTGTCAATTGATTGGTTGAATCTTAAAGTAATCTTAGGTGCAATCTGAACAGCTTCACTCATTAAATTACGATTTTATGCTAAAATAACCGGGAAGGGTAACCTAGTCAATATATGCCTGCAGAAGTGGGATGTGTCGACCAAAAGGTGCAAATATTGCAGCTATGCTGTAAACAGGCGCCACACAATTACATCTTCAAATGAAAGCAGAAGAAGAAAAAGAATGTCAAAATCCTGTTCATTTCAGTAGCTATGTGAGTATATATTCTTTGGGCATACAATGAGAAGGGGAAATTCACCTAGATTGTGACAGAAGGAAAGTTGGAGGGGAAGAGTGTCAGAGGGAGACCAAGATAAACAATGGATAATTTGGCATTATGGCTTAGAAAAAACATCTGAATCACAAATTATTAACAGTACAAAAGACAGAAAGTTATTGACAGGCATGATTAATGATGCCACACAGAATGAACGATAAGAAGAATGCGAAAATTAGTTGTGCATAAAGAATGAATGAACACAAAAGGTAACTAGGAAACTTTGGTGCAAGGAAATACACACAGAGAGAAACAAGTGAACATTTCCAGTGTGAACAGTGTGCTGTGAGCAGAAATCCTTCACAAAGAAAACAAGGGGAGAGGATGTTAGAACTAACACATTAAAGACAGGCTGTGAACTGCCTCTGCAAGGAGAGTTGGCTGTAGTGTACCCACTGTTTTCTTTAAAAATATCATATTGTGAGACCCTTATCTCTTCCACAGGTATGACTCTCATACAGCTGTGTGACTTTATTTTTGTAATATATGTTGCTCATATAGCTTTTTTTTTTCTTTTGCATCTCCACTTCCTCTTCTATACTTTTTAAAAAAAATCTTACAATTGATCACTCTACGAACTGAAGGTGAGCCCTCTGTTGACTTGTTCATGATTATTTTGGTTTCATAACAAATATGTTTTAGAGAATGAGGCAGTTAGACTCTTAATAACCCTCCTTGATCATCTCTCTTTTTCTTCTTCTCCTCCTCCTTCTTCTACTTTCTCCTATAATAGGGTGGTTTGCATGTTGTATGGTGGTTTGCATGTTGTATGGTGGTTTGCATGTTGTATGGTGGTTTGTATGTTGTATGGTGGTTTGCATGTTGTATGGTGGTTTGCATGTTGTATGGTGGTTTGCATGTTGTATGGTGGTTTGCATGTTGTATGGTGGTTTGCATGTTGTATGGTGGTTTGCATGTTGTATGGTGGTTTGCATGTTGTATGGTGGTTTGCATGTTGTATGGTGGTTTGCAGCTTAGCTGCGATATCTGTGTCTTTAGGTCCAACATAACTAATTTCAGTCAATCAGCCAGGTGCCATCTCTACAGTCAAGTTTGGCTGCAATGAATCCCCAACAAACTCTTGGTTTTACACTTTCTGACTGCTGTTTATCTCTCAGTATTGTCTTCCCACTTTTAACGTTGTCTGCCTCTTGGACTCTTGCCATTGACCTTTCCCTCCAGTATGGTTTTTGAAAGCATATTATGTCTTTTAATATAGCCAGAGTATTTCAGTTGTCTCTTTTTTTATTTCTTTCAATAATTCTCATTTCATTCACAATCTTTTCAAATTATTTGATTACTTTTGTTTCCATGAACTATGACCTATTCTTCTGTGTATCCATATTTCCAGAGATTTACGTATATTTTCTAGTTGCCTAGTCATTGTCCAAGTTTCTGCACCTTACAGCAGGGTTGAATATACATACCATTGGATGATTCTCATTTTTAATGTGTTGTTTTTCTCTCTATTTGTCAATAATTGTTGCATCTTATTGTGGATAGTTTTAGCTATTTCTGTTCTCTTTTTGATTTCTGTTTCGCTTCTTCCATTATCTGTTACTACGTGTCCTAGATATGAGAAACTTGTTACATGTTCTAATAGTTCATTTACTGTAATGTTCACTGTTGGCCGCTCTTTTCCATTGTTAATTATCAGAATTTTTGTTTTTCAAATGTTAATGTCTAAACCATTCTCTGCACTCCACCTGTTGAATCTAATATCAGCAAGTCCTAACTAGTCACTGTTTACAACATACACATCAGAAGATATCTGTTGTATTTTTCTTTCCCCAGAATAGGGTCCCACAGGGATGTCATCATCATCACTTTTAACATACATGGCATGAGTTACCATTCTTTGATGCCCTAATAAAACATATTTAGTTTTTGCAGTACATTTACTCCATCAGACACAAGCAATGCTGTTAACAAAAATATCTCCTGATGATTTAAAGGTACTGTTGTAGGGATGGGGGATTATCTGCGACCTAAAACAGCCCCAGGACTAGAAAGTGGTGGCAGTCTGTTTACACTGAGGTAAAACACAAGTAGAAGTTAACTTGTAATGTTTTATGGTAAAAAATATGAAGTTAAAGGTTAGAGTTGAGAGGATCGACTGCATGGAACCAGTTTTAAACCCAAAATGGCTGTCTCACCTCCGCAGAATGGCTAGCCACCTGTTAAGAGCTTAGCACACAGAGTTAGGCATATCTGTTTGTGTGTACATTGTTCATGTGTACATATTTAATTTAAACTCAAGTTTTATGTACATATGTGTCAGTATACATTGTTCATGTCTGCAACTGTGTCTGTACGTCATGTTTATGCATTCATTTGGTCTATGCTCGCACACTATGTGTTTGCATCTCTACTGGATAAACTTATTTAGCGGGTAGTGAGCAGAAGGTCTAACTTTCAGTCAGGTTGCCACACGCACCAAAACCATGGGACGTCTTTGTTGGGCCACTGAAAAAGGAGACTTGTAACGCTACTTTCTCCTGCCCCTTGGATTATTTCTCTTGGTTATCTTTCAAATCCTGGTGCTTTATGTTTTGGTGACTGTTTAGTGACTTGTTCTACTTAAGTTAGCACATCAGGTTCTAGCAGTGTGGTTTTATGAGTATAGTCTTGAGTTGTTCTCTCTTAGGAGTTTAACTCTTTCGGTTCACACAACTGCCCGTGTTGGTTTCGGGCCCCATTGTGGGGAAAACAAGAAAGACCCACTGCCTCCCCAACAAGCATGTCGTAGGACTCGATTAATTGAGGACTTCCTTTAGAGTCAGGGTGCCTCTGCCCGAGTGGCAAGGAACAACCAGTTGTACATTAAAAAACCCAGTAAAATGGATGAACACTCAAAACTCAGTCCCTGGCACAAAGTCCAAGTCCAAGTGGACAAACAACCAGGACTTTCCACTGGAGCTTACAGTTGGTGAACAAAGAAGAAGAAGAAGAAGGTTCACCCAATGCACTGTGTGTACTGGAATATTACTTTGTATGCACCAGTCAACACTGTATATTTTGCACCTCTTTAAGTTTAGTCAAGCAGACTAAATCAACCCAGCAGCACTAGTCACCTGCAGTGTGCTGTGTATTTGGACCCCCATGGATGCAGGATACCAATGTTTTTTGTTGTCATCATTATTGCTTCAATCTTTTTCTGGAAGGCGCACATCTCTTAGGCATGGTGCATCAGCTTGCTAGGCAGCAGAGGTTGCACAACTACATCGCTAATTCCACACTTACTGCGGCTTCCACCTGTTGTCCGAACTGCTCATATTGGACTAATCAGCTACCTTCGTACTCATAATCATTGATTACTACTAATTTGGATGAAAAGTGGTCTTCATTGCTCATGATGAGCGAACAATATTGCTTCAGTCAGGCATCAACTATGATCAGGATTGAAAGAGTCACCGCTTATTGAAGTATTACCTCCTGTCTGGCTGATTTATTAGTGGCATTCCAATCTTCTTATCATTAATTATTTCTGTGGTGTTATAGCTCTCATAACTTTTTTTTTCACTTTTGACTACTTTGAAAGATGTTTTGCTGAAACAGGACTGATTTAGAGCAGTGTGGCTTTACTAATAAATTAGTAAACTCTTCCTGGGGAATTAATTTTAATAGTTTTGATTTTGATTTTCCTTTTTAAAATGTCTAGTGCACGTCCACATACTGCGGTACCACCAGATGAAATAGGTGCCTCTCCACTTCGACCGACACAAGCTCCGCTGACGACTCGTGAGACTGTTGGCAAAACTACAGATGATGAAACCAGTAGTCATGACAACATGAGTGGTACAAAAAGGCTGATCTTTCATGATAGTGACTTTACTACAGCTCAGATTGTGGATAATCCAAAAGTAAGCAGCTTGTCTTCTCACATCTCCCTGTGTGGGTTCCAGGGCCCCATTGTGAGGGGGAAAAAAAGAGACAAACATGTCATAAAAGGCGACTTATTAGTGAATGATGTTGTCGGTATCACTCCGGCCCACTTCCACTTTAGCCAGGTTGAGCATAGAGAGATGCTGGAACCTGGGGCTCAGGCAGCTTGAGCTCAAGAGCACACCCCCCCCCCCCCCCCCATTTTGTGTGTGGTGGGTGGGCGGGGGAAGCAGCTTAGTCCTCCAATAATTCTTAGCATGGGGGCCCCCCAACCCCACCCTCCTTCCATCCCCTCCCTTTTCTAGAAAATGTGCAAGTGATTCCCCCTAAGCTCATATAGACATTCTCTCAAAAAGATTGGTAAAGATATAATTATATAATGCACTGTGCATTTCTGAAAAAGTACATCCGTACAGAGTGAGGTCAAATAAGTCATTAGTTGGCGCCTTTCTGTTTTTCCAAACAGTAGTGTTATGTTGGGTTCTAGAGAAGCATAGGATCACAGCCCATGAGTGGAACAACCATCAAGACCCTCCAGTTCTCCATAGCACAAAACCTGGACAGTATTGTAGAGACTGTGTTGCTTAGGCAGCGTGATCACTCTGTAGGCCTATCTTGCTTACCTCAAAGAAAAGATAACACCAGTACATTAGGGACGAAGAGTGATGCAGAAACTGCTGGATCAGGAGAACAAGTGCTGTGTCTGTTCACCTATTGAACTTCCCTTCTAGACTAGCTGCCAGCCAAGGATAAAAGCCTATAATAAGTTAGATGAGTCAAGAACAGACATTTTAGCATGATGGTCTTTGTTCTTCTGCCTTTCATGTGCCAGTATAGCACAGACTTTCAACCAACTCATGTTCACGCTCTCAGTCAAGTTTTTTTAATGAACTGACCCTGTGGCTTAGTTGTTAGTAAATGCATTTAACAATGTTATGAATAATAAAGATAAAGATAAGTAAAGATCCCTTTTCATGCTTTTAGGCGCATTTGGTATATGGGAAGAGCGCCAATTTGTTTCAGACCATCGGCACTAGGTGGGTAATGTGGTCAGTATTACCCCGGCTGTCTCTACTTTCCCAGGAGAGCCATCCTGGTACCAATTTTAGGTTGGGTCGACCTGTGATGCCTTATACCACGATAAAAATCCACGCAGCCAGCAATGGGTTAATGGGTTTCGATCGCGGTATGTTGTAATTACGAGTCAGACTCGCAATCCTCAGCCACGGACGCTGCTGTGATCTTCAAGTACTGAGGTTCAATTTCTGTGGTCACAGGTTCTTAAAAAACAGCTCTCCTATTTCCAGACAGGGTATGAGAGTCGCACTGTGAAAGAGATTGGGGCTTCACAGCATAATATTCCCAAAGCAGCTGTGGGTACACTGCAGCCAGTTGTCATTGTGGAGACGGTGCTTTACTTTTTGTTGTTGAAAGAAAGGCATAGTGCTCATCAGTGGTGGGCAGGGGCTGACCAGCATGAAGTTAGGCACAGGTTATACGTGATCCTTGGGTAGGAAATAGCATGAGGTGAGAGATCTGGTGAGTAGAGTCCAAGTGTCTTTCAGGTAGGCTGTGACGAGAGCAATGTTCTACAGAGGGCCTGCTACGTGATGATGAGGATATAGCGTCATGTCGACCCTCCTTTGTCGTCTCTTACAATAAGCGTTGTAATGTTACTAATTTTTCTCTGGTTCTGAAAGTGTTAATAATTTCTTCATTATTAATTTCAGATACAGAAAGTACCTCCTTGTAAATTTGACCCCAAAATGTTACCTGTACCACCATTTACAGGTAAGTGAAACTAGCACTTTAGGGGGAAAACTTATTGATACTTTTAGTCAGTATTAGACTTTTTATCTTGTCTTGTCTTGTCTTGTCTTGTCCACAATTGCCTCACAGCGTAGTGGGGAGTCGCAGTTTTCTATCCTGGGCCAGGTGTGTTGCATGTGTTGTTGTTAGTCCGTGTTGCCTCAGGATCTCTGATATATTGTCTATCCATCGTACTCTCGGTCTGCCTCTTGCTCTAGGGCAGTAGTGTTGTTCGTTGTATGCTCGTAGAGGCAGTTGGTCGGTTTGCATTCGCATCAAGTGGCCAAACCACTCGATTTGTTGCTTCTTTATGTATTGCAGGCATGGTGTGGTTCCTACAATTGATCTAATGTTCTCGTTCCGAACTCTGTCTCTCCTTGTGACATTGGCAGCCTTACGTAATCATCTCATTTCGCACGTCGTGATCTTTTTCTCCTGTGCTCTTGTTAGGGACCAGGTTTGGCATTGGTAGCAGAGGGTTGGTATAAATATGCAATTTATCAGTTGTCGTTTTAGTGCCATAGTGATGCTTGGGTGTTTTAGCAGTGGGGAGAGTTGGTAAGTTAGACTTTTTATTGCCCTAGGAAATACACCATACTGCATACGTCCTAAAATTTTCAGGATTTTTCATCCTAGACAGTGGCCACTTTGGTGAAGTAAACATTTGGGGTTTACACTAACATTTTTTTTAGGACCAAAGGATGTTCAGGTTTTTCTATCCTGTGCGATCCATGACGTGTTGTAACAAGGTAATATTGTAAATAGATACATAGGTCTTTATGGCAAAGTGGTCAAGCCACCTGCCTTGAGCTCTGCAGGTCATGTTTTCATTTCACAGACATATGCATTTTTTCTGAGATCTCCAGAGCTACAATGTTTATGCTTGGTGTTCGTGCTGCTCTTAGCAGGTGGCTCGCTGTTCTGCCAAGAGAAACCAGGCCATGTGGGATAACTCCCAGGAAATGACTGAAGAGTTAGTCTTCTTGTTTGTTAATTGAATTACCTGGATTTGAATCCGTAGTAAAACAAAGATTTTTATCCATTGATGATAAAATAAAATTCCCAAGTCTGTTGAGCAAACAATTGGGTTTTTTCCTTCCCTTAATAAAACCGTTCCAGAATGCACCAGCAATTGTACTGTCTGTTGCAGCACCAGCTTTATTTTGTAAACAAAACTAATAATGTATATTTGTTTTCTCTTGTTTTGACTCATTTGCTCCTGTTTTATCTTTGTCCACCTTCCCACAGTGGGGAAGCTTGTGTTTCTTAGTGACCTGGTGGTAACAAGCTACCACAAGGATCTCCCAAGTTATATAGGTTAAAGAGTAGAGAACAGACAAAGAGAGAAACAATGCTCCTCCAGGTTGGTTGTTGAAGCATAAAGCCAACACCCCCACTTATATAAAATCTTATTTCATCATGAAACAGATATATAAGATAAAAGGAGGTGGGTATTATCTGCAGCAGTTTAACTAAAGGGCTCGGAATGCTGAAAATAGAAGTTTTCTTTGTAACTTTATTTTTCGACTCATTATCGCTTTGTTTCCGAAGTTGACTGGTCCAGTAATACACAAGGCAAAATAAACATAAAGATCTCTTTTTTCAGGCATTGAATCACACTTTTATGGGTTGGGATATCTTCACGGCACTCTGGACATGTCTATTGGTGCTCAGATTCTGCTTCACCATATACATCGACATCCCGTCGTTGATCGTGCCAGTCCTGGTTAACGAGACTTCCTGTACGACCAGAGTGCCTCTCATGCCTGGCTTTACTGATCTTTACTCCTTATCCTTGCATTCTCAGCAGTAATGTGGACACACTGCTTCCAGAATCCTTCAATCGTCCTATCTCTGTAAGGACATCAACAATTTAGGCACAATCCATAGGCTGCCCATCTGCAGCTATGGCAGAACCAGCCAGTCTATCATTTCTTTTATTACCAACAATATCCACATGCCCTGGAACAAAGATGAAAGTAACTCCATGCACAGTGGAGTTCGCAATGACTCATTCTACTGTCTACATCCAGAGCCTGCCTCTTCCTGCCAGATCATGCTCCTAGAATCAGTCAGCACACACACGTAGCTCATCTGTGTTCCTGACGTGTGATGCTTGTTGATTCCTGGCCACACTATGCTAACTCTGTCAGTCCCAGATAGTTATTTTACACTTTCTGTCCATTTTAAAAAAAAATATAAGAGTTACAATCTTTGAGTCTTATGGAGTTAAAGTAATACATAGATGATGTGGAATGAGTTAATAAATAACTATGCTAGAATGAATTAAAACAACTATGCTAGAATGAATTAACATATCGGAACAAAGGAGTATTTGAAGGTAAGAAGACTATTCATTTTAATCATTTATAAATGTGGGGTGAATTGCCTGGTAAGAAATACATTATTTAAAAATCCTGTCATTTTCTTAAATTATAAGCTAAAATGATCTAACTTCTTGTTAAACTGTTTTCTTTCCTTTGCCAACATCTTCCTTGTCCTGCTAGTCATCACAGTTTAACAGATGATAGCTAGCCGAGCCAGGGCATGCATAGTTGACTGGTATACTGTCATGTTAGGAAGTCTTAGGTTGTCAGTGACTCCTGTATTCCATATTCTTCTCAGTCTCCTTTGCTTCTTTGTGTTTCTGTTTTCATGTTGAACACTTGTTGGATTCATTCTTACTAGGTGGCCCCATAACATTTTTTTTTCTCAATGGATCTTCTTCTTCTTCTTCTTTCGTTCGCTTGAAATAGATTATCTATATCTGCAATGTTGTCTCTAGTATGAACTTCACTGTCTTTTGTAATTCACTCAGCGACCCGTAAAGTTTGACTTACACCAATGTTTCTCTTGGCCAAAAGTTTTGCCTTGTTATGTTGTATTTGAGACAGTTTTGGAGGCCATGATCTGTTGTCTCAGGTGCTCAATGGATTTAATTATGGGTTTTGTTACAATTGTTCTTCTCATCTGTTCGTTTCTCCAATCGCTTCTGGTCTTGCTCAAAACATTTTTCAAACATCTGATTTTACAGTTGATTAGTTTTCTCTCACATTCTTTGGCTAATGTCCATTTTGTCTTTTATAAAAGTTTGGCATCTGTTCTTTTGATCACAGCTGGATCTTAATGTTAATTTTGTTACTTGTCATTTCTTATCAAAACAGTGGAGAAGTTAACAGGTCTATCAGTAAAAGAGATACAAAAACAGGCTAAGGCAATAACTGACAGCATTGCTCAGATAGAGAAGGGACCACCTTCACAGAAACGTCTCCAGTTGTTGAATTACCTAGTTTGTGTAGCCTCTTGCAAGCAGCTTTCTACTGCTTTGGTGAGTACAAGAAAACATTTATGTAAATTGAAGGTAATTAATTAATGATAGCATTCTCCCATGTTGGTTCAGAAGCCTATTTTTTTGAGGAAAAAAGAATAGGCTTTAGGGCAACCTGAATGCTATCCTTGGATGTCTCCACTGTGATTCTTAGAGCTTTTGCAGGTAATCACTTTTGTCCATATATTCCATATATGGGTTCCTGGGCTCTATTTGTCCTAACAAGCATGTTGAAAAAAGTGACCAATTATGAACTAACAGAAATTGGATATGTTGAGGTGAGAGGGTAACATATAGCAGCCTAGCTGTAAACCGCGTCACAATATGCCAACCACCATTTTGTTTATGAAAACAGAAGAAGGAGCTAATGGCAATCCTACTCTTTTGGTCTCAGTTGATTAGTTATTTTAAGTGTCCTAGTGGCTATGATTCAGCACTTTCACTGATATCATTATATGTACACACTGGTCTGTAGTGAGAGATGAGAAGTGTGGGTGGGGTTTTATTGCAAAGGTGAATGGACACTGTCTGAAAACAGACAGCCCCACCTACAGTATCACTCCATCCAGTATGAGAATGGAGGTGTAGGCGGTAATGGCAACTTTCCGATAGCAATACACCCAGACATGTTGTAAATGTAACCGGGGCACAGAGCTTGCTTCAGAAGAATAAACTGGCTTGCAGAGTGGCTTGTATCACTTGATAAGACTCAGATCAGGAGCATTATTATGTATTTTTCTGTCCTCAATATTCAGGTGTGCGAGGTAACGAGCAGGTTCATAGATTAGCTGCTGCAGCTCCTCTGGGATGTGAGCTACTTTCTGATAAAGTGGACGAGGTAAAGGCCCTCTGGAATCAAAGGGACAGGGCAATAGAACAGACAGAGAATCCATACATTGAAAGACTAATTCAGAAGGGGAAAAGGGGAAGTAGGAATAAGTAGAGGTTTTGGAAGATTTTCAACATTGAAGGAAAAACCTAGGCAGTTAATCAGGATGCAACTGGTACTACTGTTAGCATGTTGACTCTTTGTTGGCTACTGAAGAAGGTGACGGAGCGGATGTGGGAATGTCCAGAGTGCTGTGATGTCAGTTCTTGATTCATTCATTCTCTGTGGTGGCCGAGTTAGATAATCTGCTTCCAAATCAATAACCCTACCATCATCATCAACATCCTGTCTTGCCGTTATATGCCACATATGGCTTGTAGCCTTTTCTTCCATTCCATCCTATCCTCTGCAGTTCTGTCAATATAAGTGAAATCCAGTCCAGTAGCTTTAGCCTTACTCATCAACATTCATTTTAGGGTTTCTCTTGGATATCCTTATTGTTTCCCATTTCAGTGTCTTTTGTGGTGCTGGTGTGTTGTTGTGTAGAAAACCTTTTTGTTCTGTGATAATGCTTATTACCTACTCAGTCTCATGGTATGAGGTGTGGTGACTACATCCGTTCTTGAGGCCTGTTAAATATTTTTAATCCTTGTATTTAGACGCAGTTTGGTCTCATTGGAACTATAACCAAGCAGATCAAAGACTCTACTCACTTAGACATGTAAGTAAACTCTTGATTTTCCATCTGATTACAAGCACTGCAGCTTGTGTTAATGAAAGTCCCATAGCAATCTGTGAGATTTCTAGGAATCCTAGAAAAATTTGATTTATTGGCTGTTGTACATAAATACCAGAAGAGATTAAATCAGAAATTAGGTCATAAGATAAAGAGTTGGCACAGAACCAGTTCTAAATTACACACAGTCAGCAGAGAGAATATCTTGCGACGCCATACCATGCAAGGCATACACCGAAAGAGAAAGTTGTAGAGCACAAGGTAGACCAAGAATAATATGGAACGATAACATCAGAGAAACTGTACAAATTGTGATGTGTCTATGGTTGAGGTGGCCAAAAGAGAAAGAAGCAGAACCCTGTCTCCCTCAACACTCAAAGCGATGAAAAAGTTAAGTGAAGAGGAGGAGGAAGAAGAAGAAGAAGTACGTAAATGCACTGCAAAAATATTTGCTCACAGTGTGTTGTTGGGGAAACTGTTACAGGTCTTGAATGTACTGTTAATAGCTACAAAATATATTGTGGAAGAAAGACATAATTTTACAAATGCGATCTTTCAATAGGGTTCAAGTTGTAACATATTATTGGTACTGTGTCAAAGTCATCTAATTACTGTATCATCTATATACTGTCTCATTTAAATACTGTATCATCTTAATACTGTATCCATATTTTGAGAAAATCGTGCTTGAACACCGAGATTTCTAAAACAAAAAAACAAAAAAACAAAAAAAAAACATTGTGTAATTGTCTGAACAAAATTACTTCGTTTCACCTCATTGGAATTGGAATTTACCTGAAAATGATCTTTGGTAAAAATCACTTAAACTGCACTTGTGTGACTTTGGCATAGTGCCAAATGTATATTCTGGGTAAATTAGCTTTATTTTATACAACACCATGTTGAAGAAATGGTTACAGGTTATAAAGTATATTGCTGAAGAAAGTATTGTAGACTTTATAGTGCATTGTTGAAGAAATTGGGGGTTTTTCAAAAGATATTGTTAAGAAAGCTGTGTTACCAAATAAAAAAAAATAATAGATTAAAAACTGAATTTTTGGAGAGTATCTTTCAGTATGTAGAAATGTTATAAAACATGCCATGATATTTAACCTGTATGCTTTTACCCATTCTTCAGGCTAATATGTTAAGTAATTCATTTTCATTTTTCTTGAATTTCACATCTTTGACATAGACGACTCAAGTTTTCAAGAGCTCTGGCTTTGATTGCTCATTTTACAGAATCTGTTGACGTATCTGTAAACTTAGCAGAAGTAGGTGTCAATTTCGTTTTCTAAAAAATAAATAAATAAAAATTTTAATGTTTCTCTGTTTTACGGTTGTTTTAAAAAACCAATGTCACAAGTTCTCTTCACTTCTATCTCCAGGCATGCCCGGCTCTCTATCGTAGTTGGTCAAACCCTACTTTCGCGGTGGCCGGGTGACGAACTCCTTGTGGTCCGTGTTCATTTCCGAGGGTAGGCAGAAAAGCCACATTTCTCCCAGATTAATGGTACCTATAATGGAATCAAGGCAGAAGAGTTGCGATATCCATAGTACCGTGCCAAAGGGTTTACAACTCATGGTTTCTGGATCCTTAAAAAAAAAAAAAATATCTCCTTGCATATTTTAAATATGATAATAAAATCTCAGCATTAAATGTTATCATTGATCATTCTAAATTTGCTGCTGGAATAATTGTTTCATTATTCGTCAGTTATTTATATTTCAGAATGGCTGCAGTGAACTCTTGGGTTACTACTCAGTGTGCCTGACCTGGTAACGAACAGTTTATCACAAAAGTCATGCCATTTGCAAACTTCCCACTCCACTCATACACTTGCTGGACTGACAGGCATGCGTTACCCACCGGACCTTTATTCACCATTGAATTTTTATAGGTTTCACCCCTTCACTAATAAAAAAAAAAAAAAAAAAGCAGAATGCAGCTCTTCTTTGGTGCATGTCAAAAGTGAGGTGGCCGTCTTTAAACTGTTATTATGACGTCACCATGTTTATATGCATTATGCTGTCACAGGTTTAATACTCTTGACATCATTAACAACAATATCAACAGGTTACAAGACTAATGGCATGGCTATTGTAATTTCTTTAACACTTTTTAGATTTCTATTTGAAGTCCCCTCATAAATTCTTTCATCATGTCATGCTAGTGAAACACAGTGTCAGGTTGTGTGGTGCTTCACAGCAGTGAGCTAATCAGCAGCACCCATGTAAGCCAGTTATCTTCAAGGGCCAGGGTATTGGAAAGACAAAGAGTAAGAATCCATTAAAATGAACTGATTCTACAAATACACACAGATCTCTCCACCCTAGTAGCCTGCCCCTTGCTTCCTGACAATTATTGTAACTATTTATTCTTTGCTTCCCTGATGAGCCCCGGAAACACACAAGCTTATATTGAATCTTCTGCCTTACAATTCTAGTTCACTTATCTCCATTGACCACCTTATCTCATATAATTTTTGTCCTGTCTAATTTGAACCTCCCACCAAACAAATGCTCTCTCCCAGATGTCGAATCGCTAGCCCTGTGACTTTTCAGAATTGTGTCAAAGAGTCACTCCTGTGGACCAGATTTCTTCTCTCTGACTGTCAGCATGTAGGGGGTAACTTGAAACATGCTTTAAAGTTTTGCTTTGGTGCACCACAATAGCAAGTGGCAGAGTCAGCAAGACCCATATGGCCTGATAGTTCAGTGAAAAGATACCAACACTGCACATTTTGTAAAATCATCCAGCACAGTGTGTTTGTCATTGTCTCCAACTCTAAATCTCCCAACCCTTTAGCCACTGTCCATTCTGGTGGATGTGCTCAGAGAGAACATGAAGAACAACAGACTCAGACAGGCAGTATTGCCAGCTTTAGGGGAGCTAATCAACCTTGTGGCCACACAGGTATTACTATTGTTAGTATGTTTTGCCATGTTGAAACACTGTCAAGATACTTCTATTGCTGTCTTCCTCTATCTTTTATCTCACAAATTTTTGTTTTTTTATATTTGTTACAATATGTTAATTTTTATAAGCTTTTATTAAGTTCAGTTTTGTTTGTTTGTCAGTTTTTTGGTTTGTTTTTATGGTGAAATGTTTGTGTTCAGTTAAAACAGAATGATTTTATTGAGGCTAAAAATGCTGACTGTTTAAAAAAAGAATTTGTAAATGAGTGAATAAATGAATAAATTGAGAATTGACATCACTGCACTCTAGACATTCCCACAAATGCTCCATCCCCTTCTTCAGTAACCAACAAAGAGTTGAAATGCTTATAGTACTGGCTGGAACCTAATTAAAAGTCAGCCTGTTTCCCCTCCATTGTTGAATGAACATGTTCCCTACTCACTCCCTGTTGAATTAGTCTTTCAGTGTACGGACTCCTGTCGGTTCTTTTGTACTGTCACTTTAATGATGCTATTTAAATACTAACTAACTGGTAAATAACATGATAACTGTCAAAGCCTTCTGCTAACATCCTTTACCCACACAAGACTGCAAGTTACACTTAGTGTAGCTGTTGAACTTGTTGAACAAGTATATGGGGTTTTGACCTATTGATCTGCTGTCCAGAATGTAACCCTTGAAGTCACATGGATAGGCAGATCATTAGGTAGCCGTCTGCTAGGGGAAGACAGACAGAGAGATACTCACTTCTGTTGTTGTGGACACAGAATATGTTAGTACTTCAGAAGGTGCTCATTAACTTGTTTAGTTGCCACAACACTTGTAACAGCTGACCCGACAAGGCTTCTCAGAAAACAGTTTGTAACTCAGTCTGCATGTCGTAGGAGAACAAATTTTACAAAGAAGAAGAAGAGTAGGAAAAGGCAGCAGTGGTGATAGTGACAGCAGCAGCAGATAAAAAAAAAGAAGGTAAAGAAAGAGGAGGAAGAAAAAGAATGAGATGATGATGCAGAAGAAAAAGAAGAGATGGAAAATGAGAGAGAGGGAGAGATTAAATGTATAAATTTACAGTATATAGTGATGATCTATAAATATTGGCTTGACAGGAACAAAAGCTTCAAGATTCTGTGGAGATTTGGGCAGTTCCATCTGTAGCTTACACCACCATTATAAGAGGACTAAGAGAAGGGGTAGGTTATCTTTTCATGTAATGTAGCAGTTGCCAGTCCATGGTATTTTTATTAATATTCATGTGATAAGAGTTGTCCGTGGCAAAGTGATTAAGTTGGTTTGGGTTCAGACTCTAAGCCAGGTCGATGTCAGACTTTTCCATAAGACTAATTGATAAAGGTCACAGGGTCACAGCACAAGTCACCCATACATAAATTTTTTAAAGGCCCTGGGGAATATATTCCATTTAATACTTCACCCTGTTTGTTTTCATTGGTTCCTCCCTTCATATATTTTTATATATCCCCCCCAACAAGTATAATTTAGATACAGAAATTCAGAAAGAAGTATTTTATTTATTTTTTGTTAGAGCTGTATTTATTAGTGGTCTGTGATGTTGCCAATGTTGTTAAATATTTAATTGTATAGGGTACTTGACACTTTTTAGTTACTGGTGATTTGTTTTCTGACATTTTAGAGCCTCTTTTTATGGCATCTAGTCGTGTCTGCTGACAGTGCCTTTTCTTTGTGCGAAGTAACTTTCTATAGGCATCTTTCAGTGTTTATAAGTAAATATACAATAATTTTTTTTTGTCTGTCTTTCCTTCATATACACTTTTCTTTTTAAAGTTTGTTTTGAAATAACCATAATATACCCAACATGAATAGATGACTAATTGTTTTAGAGCTTTCTCATTGGCTGACAATGTCTGCATGGTAGTTTTCTCATTGGCTGACAAGTTCCTGTATGGGAGATTTTTATTACATTCTAGATTAAAGGAAACGGAGAGGATTTGAAATATATATACACATATAAGAGTAAGAAAAGAAGAAGAGGCTGGAAGAAAAAAGGAATAGAAAGAAGAGAATGAAAGAGAACAAGAAAGAAAATGTGAAAAGTACCCTTTACTATATTTTTAAATTACAGAATGTTCATCAAGAAGTAAGTTCAGCATGTACTTGTTCATCTTCTTTCTCTTTGTTTGATGTTTTTTTTTTTTTCATTATATGGTCTAATTGTTCAGTATTTGGGCTGCTCTGGAAACTTCCTTATCTTTCTAAACCAATTGTGTCTGCCTTCTGCTGCCTACTTTTGAGTTATCTGCCTTTGGTAACAGGTCTCTGCAACACTACAAATAACTGTTATGTTGGCTCTCATGGTTGCTCTTCATGAATATTGCTTTTCAGTTTTGTCTGCAGTGGGCCTTTATTTTGTATGGTTGGCTGAACCACATCTCCTTGAGCCATTTAATTGCTTTTGTGGATATTTTCTTTTTTTCATTCCTTATCCATTATATGTCACACAGGGCTTCATCATCATCATGTAGCAGGTCATTTGCAGAAAGTCACTAATATCACGGTCTGTCTGAAAGAAACTTGGTCTCTCGCCAGCTCTCCCGCCTCATGTACTTTCATACTCAAGAAGTCATTTATATCCTGTGCCTATCTTCATGTTGGTCAGCCCCTGCCCCTCCTTCCTGGTACTTTGTCTTCTGTTATTAAATTTTTTCCAATCCATTGTGGCGCTTGATATGACCAAAATATTTCAGCTTCCGAAACAGGATGCTGTTTATTAGACAAACTTCCTTGATGTTCAGATCTTTCAAGATGTCAGTATTTATCCTCTTCTTTGTCTCAGATATTCTGAGAATCTTTCTATAGCATTTCAGCTCAAAAGCCCCTATTCTCTTTCCTAAGGACTGAGAGATAGTCCACAGCTCATATCCGTATGTAGCCACAGGGAAGATGCATGCTCTCAAAATTCTAATTTTGATCTTCTTGCAGGTGCTTAACCAAAGACTTTTAAGGCTGTGTTATCTTTGCATTGCTATGGTCATCCTCCTTTTAATTTATGTCAAATAGTCTCTATTTATTATAGAGCCTAGATGTTCAAAGTTTGTGACATTTTCAATTTCAACACAGGGCTTACAGTCTGTCTGTTCTGTTCTACCCTGTGCGATCACTTCGGTATCAAATATGGAATCCAGTCCAGCCCCTTCAGCTTCTATAATCAACGTTTGCTTGAGGGTTTCTGTTGCACAACCTTATTTTCTCAGTCTCTGTATTTCCCCATTTCAGTGCCTATTTGTGATTCTCTGTTGGTATCCTCTCAGAATGTGTACACTATAGCTCCACCTTCTCTGTCTTAAAACTGCTAATACTAGATGGTTGCTCAGACATTTCTCTAATTGTTTTCCACCCCTCTTGAATTCATCCCATTTTATATCATAATTTTCCTCAGGTATTTAATTTTTTAATCCATTTTGCATTTAACTTTCATTCACCTGTAATTATCATGCATCCACTTTGTGCACCAAATACCACTTGACTCATTTGTTTTTTGGAATATCATATTTTCCTGCAAGTGTTTTTGTAGATACACACATATTTAATGTTTGATAATGTTTTTTTTTTTTTTTTTGGTTCTGTATTTGAGTTTGCCAAAATTCTTTTTTTTTAAATGAAACTGTCTTTATTGTTTCAGATAAAAATGGATTTGTGTTTTCTTTATTTCATTGAATTCCTCTCTGTAGAGATTTATTCTCAAACGGAGCACAAGCCCTCAACCAAATCACAGCAAGTCATCCTATCCTTTGCTTTCATTTGCAGCTCACCCCATGTCCTCCCCATCTTTTTAACTTTACTCTTTAGCTCCCTTCCATGTATTTTTTTTTCCAGGGGCTCTCTTAATTTCTATGCCCCTGTGTGTTCCACTGTAAAGCTCTTCTAGTTATATTGTTAAGTTTTGTCATAGTGTGCCCTGTCTAATGTCAGCCTTTTTTCTTCACCTCTTTATTTCACTGAAATTTGTATCTCTACCATTTCCCCCCCATATTTGTATACATTACTGCCCAAATAAATATATGACTCCACATCTTGGCATGAGATATAACCAAGAGAAATTAGATTATTGTTTGCCTGGTTTTTTCTCGTTATCTTTATCTTTCTGTTATGGATCTCTTGTCAAGTATGTTTATTTTACATCTGATTTGAAAGGTTTTTCTTGTAGTTAGATGGGCAGTGCAATAGGACAGACAGCGAATACATACAATGAAGCACTAATTAAGTGGGGGTGGGAGTGGGGGAGTGGTAGAGGTTTTTGAAGGTATTCAACACTGAGGGGGAACATCTGTGGACTTTTAATTAGATTGCAAGTGGTACTACTGGCATGTCCACTGTTCGTTGGCTTCTGAGGAAGGAGATGGAACACAAGTGGGAATGTCCTGAGTGCATGAAATACTATACTTTTTTAACATTAGTTTTTTTATATTCACTTTTGGTGACAAAGTTAAGTGATAGTAATGCTTTTTAAATAAGACTGAAGAACAACAAGAATGAGTAATGCCAGAGACCTCCCGGCCCAGTAGTCATTTGTGCGATATCTCTTCAAGGTGGTGATTTAAAATAGTTAATCTAGGCTGCAAGGTTGACCTAACACACAACAGGTATTAAGAAGTTCTCTGGATAGTGTACTAGCCCTTGGGCCTCTGATGGCAAACCCTCTGGGACTGAAAGAGTTAAGTTGTGAAAAAAAAATGTTCCTTTACTTTACTTACTACTGGGTGCCATCAGTATTTAGTACTTAGAACTGTTTCTTTCAGGATGATCAGATACTGAATCACATGGCAGCCAAGATAATAGAAAATGTCACAGCCACCAAGACCAGCCATGCCCAGGTAGTGATAACTGTCTTATTACTTTTCCTGTTTCATTGTTTATGTTACTAAGTGTTTCAATAATATATTCTTGATGTCCTTAATTAATAATATTTGGAACTGTTTTATTAATCATGTTATTGGAATGTTCCATAAATATATTCATCATCATGTAGCAGTTCCTTTGCAGAAAGTTGCTCCATCACATTCTGCCTGAAATAAACTTGGTCTTTTGCCAGCTCTCCCATCTTGTGCACTTTCATATTCAAGGAATATCACTCATATCTGTGCCCATCTTCCTGTTGGTCAGCCCCTGTCCCTTCTTCCTGGTATCATGTCTTCTGCTATTTTTGTTCCAGTCTGCCAGGACGCTTAATATAACAGAAAATATTTCAGCTTGTGAGACAAGATGCTATTTATTAGCCAATCTTCCTTGATGTTCGGATCTTTTAAAATGTCAGTATTTCTTCTCTTCTTTGTCCATAGTATTCTGAGAATCTTTCTTTAGCCTTTCAGCTCAAATACCCCTATTTTATTTCTTAAGGACTGGGAGATAGTCCATGACTCATATCCGTTTGTTTTTACAGGGGAGATGTTGTGTTTGGCTTCCTCAATGAGTTTGAAATATATTACTGAAATTAATTAACATATTATTAGTGTGCTTAATTATTTTACTCAAGAGTTAATTAATTGTTTTGGAAAGATATCAAACCAGATGACAAGTAGAACTACTCAGTTTCAGATTAGCACAATCTCAAGCAGTAAGTGTATGTTGCAGCTCAAAAGCCTTCATCAGCACACGACATGAATAGATGATGTTACATTTACAAACAAGAATATACAAAACACACTTTAAAAACACAATTTAACTTGAACACAAAAACCTTTATTGTGGTCTGTCCATGAAAAATCCACATGTCTGCCTGGCCACTTGAAGCTGTGAGACACATGTAAATACAGAAATGATTCACACACTGGATTATTCTGTATTGTAGTGATCAAAATCACTAGAATTCCTTGGACAGCTAAGAAGAGCAACCCAGATGTTTTGAGACAGGTGTGTGCTAGAAGACAACAAACATCAGAAAAAGATGGTCATCAGTTGTTGGTCATGTTATAAGAAGAGGTAAGCAAGAACATGTTGTGACTGCTGGAAAGATCTGTGGAAAGAGAGACAGAGGAAGACAGATTGAGAAGATTTTTGACAGCCTTTTGTCATAGCATGGAACTGATTCACGCAGTTGCGGATCGTAGATTGTAGAGAGGCATGATTTCCCATGCCAGTCGGCCCGGCACTTGATGATGATGAGGATGGTGAGTGGTTATCATATCCGCATTACACATGGAAGGTTCTGGGGTTCAAGCCCTATTTGGAACATTAATTATATTGAGTGTTTAATTAATTATATTATTTAGGTGTTTAAGTATTACTGATTTGTTTTGTTTGCTTTTTTTTAAGTGTTACTTTAATTATATTGTGTGTTTTATTAATTATATTCATGGAGTGTTTCTTTAATTTCTTTGAGTTTTTCATTAATTATAGTATTAGAATGTTTTATTAATTGTATGTTTGTAATTGTTCCTAACTTTTTTTTTTTTTTTTAATCATCGAATTTCATAAAGTGCAATAACTCATTTATTACTCAATTGAAATTTATGTGGCAGCGTTTATTTGTATACTTTTTTCAGTCAGAAATATGTTGATCATTTACATTCCGATTTATTTTAATTCCTCAAGTATTCTTCATTATGCATTGTTGAAAAATTTTGAGTTGTTGTTTATTATTGATTCACAATACTCCCTGTGTGGGTTCCGGGGCCCTGTTGTCAGGAAAACAAGATTAGGCCCACTGCATACCCAGAAGCATGTTGTAAGAGTCGACTAATTGGGAGCTTCCTTCAAAGTCGGAGTTCCTTTGCCTGAGAGAAAGAAACCAACAGTCTGCATTCAGATGAGTCAGATCTGTAAAACAGATGCACATGCAACACTCAGGTTCTGGAACAGGACTGCAGTCCAGAAGTGGATGAACAACCAGTGGATGAACAACCAGAACTTTCCGCCAGAGTTTACAGCTGGTGAACGCGAAGAAGATTCACATTACAATTTTCTGAAGGTGGAAACCATCACTGGTAGATAATAAATGAGTCTTTCACTAATTATATAATTTCAGAATTTTTGTTTCATTTCCTTATCATAATATTTGTTTTATTATGTCATCCGTGTATGGATTCTAGGGTCCACAGTTTAGGGGAAAAAGAATAGACCCCCTGTCTCTCCTCGCCCCACCACCAACAAGGTTGTTGCGTATCCTTTACAGGACGTTGCAGAACCAACCCTAACAGCCCCTGGCTGTTGTGTGGTTTCTCTAGGCAAATTTACATCCAGTAGTTTGCCATTGTTTTCTGGACGGTCAGCTTTCTTGATACCACTGTCGAAACCAACGCAAGGCGCATTGCCCGCAGCTGGAATCGAACCCGGCATCCCGGCATTACGAAGCGAAGTGTTCGCATCGACTTAGCCACAGAGCCGACACCACCAACAAGCATGTTGTAAAAGATGATTGAGTAGGGTTTTTCTTTCAAAGTTAGACTGCATCTGCCTGAGAAACCCTCAAGTTCAGGAGCAAGACAAAAGTCCAGAAGTGGACAAACAACATGAACATTCCACCAGAGTTTACAACCAGTAAACACTAAGAAGTAGAAGAAGAAGTTAATTAAATTATCAGATTTGAATTAATTTCATTTTTTTTGTATTTTATTTTAATTGTGTTTTATTAATTATAGTGAAGTATTTCATCAGTTTAATTATCACTATACTGATCATCATCACCACGTGCCTTGCTGGTAAGCATAGGTGGTCACATTTCACTATCCTACAGTCACCAGAACAACAATGTCAGTGCTCACTACTACTACTACTGCGAAGTATTTTAAAGTTCATGTTAAATTGAGATATGTGTGTTTTATTTGGTTACAGAAATTTGTTACACAGGAAGTCTGCCAGTCTTTATGGTACCTCTTCAAGCATTCAACAGTGGATGCAGTCAGATGTACAGCCATTTCGGTAGGGTCCTTAGATTGTCTGTGTTTAAGAATGACTGGCAGTTGTTGCAAGGGGATTGCTGTTTTTATGTATGACCTGATTGGGTCAGCTAGTTTCCGATTTGCATTTCAGTGCTCCATTTTTTTAAAACAAAGCATAGACACATCCCCCCCCCTCTCTCTCTCCCCAGCAAGCATGTCCTAAGAGGTGACTAATAATGAATGTTTCCTTCGAAGCTGTAGTGCATCTGCCTGAGAAGGAAGGAACCAGCAGTTTTCGATACAGAAGCCACATCTGTAAAATGGTTGTGCATGCAAAACTCAAGTTCTAGATCAAGACCAAAGTCCACGAGTGGATGAACAACCAGAACTTTCTGCCAGAGTTTACAGCCGGTGGAAACACTAAGAAAAAGAAATCAGCCAGTGAGAACATTTTGTTGTTGTCTGTTGCTGACTGTGAAGGTTTTTTTTTAAATCAAGAGGATTACTTGTCCTTGTGGTGCATCTTCAAACTGTGATTAATTTGATAGTTTTGATGTATTTAAAAAAAATTTGTAAACTGAATTATTAAAAGTTGTAATATGAAATGTAAACATTCATTTTGTTTTCAGATCTCTTTACTGTATTACTGATATCTAACATACTGTTTTTTTTTTCTAGCATGTAGAATCTTGGTTATGCAAATATAGATTTTCTGCCTTTCCTTCTTCTGCCTTTGTGGTCACACTATTACTGGATTGTAGTCCAGTATTGTGGTTTTCTATATTTATCTTGTACTTCTTGGGTAGCTGAGTGATGGTTGTGTTAATCTTTTTGTGGGTTTCAGCTATGTGATCTATCTATGTCTCCCTTGGTCTTTCTCTTGCTTTCCAGTAAATTATTCTGCTGTAGAACGTTTCATACACAGTTTGGTGTGGCTGTGTTCTTACCAAATGGTCAATCCACCTCATTCTCTGCCTTTCAATGTAATTTAGGCATTGTCTTGTTCCACCCTTCTCTCTTATGATGGTGTTTATAACCAAGCAATTTTCAGAGACAGAACATTTAGCAGGTGGTTATTTTATGTTCCTGTGATCTACTCAATGTCCATATTTATCACTGACAGCATAAAGTGTGTACAAATGCTTCATTAATCATTTCTTGTTTCGCTGGAAGGGAGATATGTGGCTTCTGGATCCTGGCTTCTGTATCTCTATTGTTTCTGATTTTCCATATAAAAATTTCCTGTTTCTTTTTCCTGGGTTTCCTAGAATCAAATCATGCTTTATTTTTTGGCTGGTGCCAGATCATATTTTTGTTGGGAAGAAATCATGGTTTAGCCAGGATCAAAATTAGGAACATTTTATCTGTCCGTTTCTTAAGAAACAATGATTTTGAAAGTAATCTTAGAAGACAGTAGTTATTTTTAAAAAGAAACATACAGACTCTTTTTTTTCTTCTTCTTAGCATTCACCGGCTGTAAACTCTGGTGGTTGTTGACCCATTTCTGGTCTTTAGTCTTGTTTAGAACTTGAGTTTTATGTGCACATCCCTTTTACAGATCTGGCTTATTTGTAAGTACACTTTTGATATCTCACCTCTCAGACAGACGCACTCAAACTTCAAAGGAAACTCCCCTAATTAGTTGCTGATTGGGGAGGCAGTGAGTGTATTCTTTCTCCCTATGACTGGGGCCTCGGACTAAAGCGGGAAAAACCCCCCACAAAAATGTGACTAGAGAACTTGACAAAACCAAACACACATAGTTAACAAATAAATATTTCAACAAGTCTGTATCAATAAATAACCAGAATACTTAACTACAGAAATGGAATTAAAATGATCCTACCAAAAAGTAATTCACCTGTCAGAAACAGATAATTTGAGTTCTGGAAATTAAAAATGGAATCTGGGAAGAAAAAGAAGATAAAACAAACATAAAACAAAATAATAAAATCAATATTATTAACATATATAATTAATGTCTATATTATCTGACATTTGTTAAATTCCAGGCCTTGTGTAGACTCACATGGCACAGCCCGGCCATGTTTCAGAACCTTCTGGATGTTGGTGGTCTGAACTCGGTGATGCAGGCTCTGACAGCAGGAGTGTCCAGGGTACAGCAAGCAATTATAACTATGTTGGGTGCCTTTATGGTAACAGTTGGTCATACCAGCAGACTCTTCCAAGAAAAGGTATATTTTATATTTCTATCTGTGTTATGGTAATGAGTCTTCTGTTTGTTGGGTTGTAGTTTGAAAATAACATTGTCAGTGAGTATTTGGTGTGGTGTGGTGTGGTGTGGTGTGGAGCTTTGTGGCTTTTGAGGTTTATGAATAATTGTAACAGTTTTATTATCATTCTGTACTAGGTTTTGGCTGGCTTCTGTGGCTTAGGTGTTGTGAACGAGCTTCGTAATGCCGGGGTGCCGGGTTCGATCTCAGCTACGGGCCTTGCGTTGATTTAGACAGTGGTATAAAGAAGCCAACCGTCCGGAAAGCACTGGCAAACTACTGGACGTAAATTTTCCAAGAAAAACCACAACAGCCAAAAAATGCTGGGGTTGGTTCTACAACGTCCTTTAAAGGATCCACAACTAACTTAACTAGGTTTTGAACTCCATAGCTGTATTTGTGGATAAGGTATCAAAAGGTCACTAGACCTTAGATATGTTGGTATCCAATTTGATAGATGTCCGACCTTCCAATTTTGTGTCAGTGATGTCATTAAAATGGCTGATAACGGCTTGGCACCATTCAAGTTGATGGGAGCAGCTCAGATGAAACAAAGACCGTTGCTTGTGCTTGATCAGTGTTTGGTGCTCTCTGTGATTTAACGTGGGCTTGGCCTCCTCACAGTTAGCCGACATCTGCTGAAAAGACCAGAGAAAGGGAAAAATGAAGCCATCTGTCCGATCCTCAGGTACACATGCTCTTATGGTTTTCGGACGATGACCCAAGAGTCACACCATGGAAGAGATTGGGGCCTCACTACATAATATTCCCAAAGACAACAGTGGATAAACTTGAGCTGACTTTTTTTTTAAAGATGGCATAAGAATCACTTTACTGTGTTATGGTGTAATTTTATGCTGTTGATGATCTTCCTCTTCTTTCCTCTACTCCTGGAATGCTTCATGGCATCAGGGCAGGAAGAGATCTTTGGAATAGGCCCTTCCATTCACATTGTTGAAAGTACTTTCCTGTGTCTGTGATATTTCTATGCTCTACATTCTGTGCAGTGGACTTCTAACTTAGATACTGCTGTACCTGTATAACATTGCTCTCTGTGGTGCCCTGTCTGATGCCAGTTCTGTTACATGGCCAAACCATTTGATTTGTTTTCTACCTATAAAGTTCAGCATTGGCTCTGTGCCGACTTGCATCCTGATATCATCGTTCGTAAGTCGATCTTTCCTCATTACACCTTGTATAGTAGGTAAACATTTCATGTTTCAGTTATCATGTTGATGATGATGACTGTAATGGCAATGAGTCTCATTGTGCTCGTATGTTATGTTGTATTTTGATGATAATGCTGAAGATATTGCCACTGAATCTTGTGCCTGATATATTAATTTGATAATGATGATGGTTTTGTTAAATGATATTTTGTGTGTCATATGATTGTTGAATGATGACAACACTGTCAGTGAGTCTTTTTGTGTATTAAGATTTTATGATGATGATGATGACATAGTCACTGAATATTTTGGTGTGTTTGTGTGGTAGTTTGATAACGAAAAATATTACCGATAAGTCTTTTCAGCGTTCTGTGGTAGTTTATTGGTGATGATGACATAGTCATTGAGTATTTTATGTGTTATATAGTACTTTGTTAATGACAGTATTGCCAATAAGTCTTGTCTATGTTCTGTGGTAGTTTATTGATAATTACTTCATAGTTATTGAGTATTTGGTGTGTGTTATGTGGTACTTTGTTAATGAAACTATTGCCAATATGTCTTGTCTTTGTTCTGTGGTAGTTTATTGATGATGACCACATAGTAGTTGAGTATTTTGTGTATGTTATGTGGTACTTTGTTAATGAAACTATTGCCAATAAGTTTTGTCTATGTTCTGTGGTAGTTTACTTCTGAGGTAGTTTACTGATGATGATCACATAGTCATTGAGTATTTTTTATGTTTATATAGTACATTGTTAATGAAAATATTGCCAATAAGTCTTTTCTGTGTTCTGTGATAGTTTAATTATGATAAAGACATAGAGTATTTTGTGTGTGTTATGTGATATTTTTTCATTAAAATATTGCCAATGTCTTTTCTGGATTATACAGTATTTTGATAATGATAATAATATTGTAATTGAATGTTTGGTGATATATGGGTATTTTTTATATTCTATATGATGCTCTTTCTGTTGCAGGATTTGCTAGCTAAGATCATGCGCTGTTTTGAGAGCCCATCAGCTGTAATTCGTGGGAAAGCATTTGTTCTGATTTATGAGATGGTTCATAGTAATAGTGACTTGTTGTTGAGTTGTTGTCAGGCAAGGTGGGTGCTGCAAGAGCTTTGTTTTTTGTATGTGTGTGTGTGTGTATGTATTTTTTAACAGTTCCAATGTTCTTTTATTCCGATGTGTTTGTATGTGTCTGTTATTTTGGATTGTAAGCTTGTGAGTATATGCATATGTGTGCGTGCATATCTGTGAGTATGTGTGCTTGTTTGTGTGTGTGTGCTAGTAAAGTATCTGTATACTCATGAGTGAAAAAGATGGTTTGAAAAATGTGTTCATTTTGTTTTTGTCTCATTAGTACATCTATTCCTTAACTGTATGCTACAAAGAGCAGTAAGCCTCTTTACACACCATAAAATAAAGTGGCTCATAAATATCATCATGCCTTTTCACCCTAGCAATGCTAAAAAATGGTTCATGATCCGGTGGGAATTCTCAAAAGAAATCCTTTAAAAACAACAATTTTAAGTCCATATTCAGTTAAAAAATATTATTTATGTACATTTATAAAAAGGGAGTCACCGTGGTGTGGTGGCTAGATGCTCGCCAGCTGATTGGGATGTCCTGTTTTTGGTTCCTGACAGAGGGGGACTTTTTTCAAAAATTACCTTAGCTCCCAAGTCGACCCAGCCTTGTGTGGGTACCAGGCACAAGATTTGGGAAGTAGAGGGTGACCGGTGTGATTTTGACCACACCACCCACCAAGAGCTGATTAGTCTATAAAATATAGGTCTATCCATATATGCCCAATACACCTGAGGTCATGGAAAAGGGTCCTTTACTGTTTTACATTTAAAAAAAAATTCCTGACATATATAAAGATACATAAAAGGAGAAATACAAAATTATGAACAGAGTCATGAAGTGGAGTACATTCCTCAGGGCCTACAAAATATATGTATTGGGTGACTAATGCTGTGACCCTGTGACCTCTACTATTGAGGCTTATGGGAAAATTTGACATCAGCTTGGCTTTAACACTCTGGAGACTAAGCCTTTTCAGAGTTTCTGTGCCAAAAGACGAAGCCTTCAGGAGGGGATTTTTATAGTTTGTACACCAAAAATTATAAAAAAATAAGGTGTTTAATTAACATGAACAAAACTATATACATTCGTTTAGGAAATTGAATGAGCTAACAGAATATTTATGAATCAAACTGAAATCACATTTATTTAAATTAACTATTCAGATTTGCATAATTTATGCAAGCATTTTTTAAACTTGGGAACAAACATGACTAACCTATAAAATGTGGGGAATTAATCATTTGATGGATGAAGCTTGAACAAGTCCTAACACTTGTGTTTTGGGAATTAAGGCCCTTGGAGGCCCTTCAGACACTTTTGGCATATGGTTCTACTCATTTTCCTGCCTCCTGCTATGTTTCGGTTGCTATGATGCAACAGTTCTTTTCACCATTGTTGGGCACAGGTAGCCCCAGAAAAAAATTGATGTAAATTTACTGAACACATCCGACTTTTTCGGAAGCTGTCACTGAACAACCCACATATGCAAGAAATGCGAGAAGCAATTTGATTGGCTGGTACGAAAACCTGCCAGCCATTCTGAAGGCTTGTATTACATAGGGCCGACCATTTGGCCCAGTCATCCTTTTGGCTACTTTATGTCGGGTCGATATTTCGGCTGCATCGTCTCCGAAGGGTTTTTTAAAAAACTTTTTTAAACCCCCTCCCCCCTCTTCCAAATCTATTTTTAGTTTATGTCTACACATCCTGCCCTTATAAACATGTGTGCAGGTGTGATTACAACCAATAGCATTAACTAGACATCTTGTAAACAAACCACTATAGACATGTCAAAAAAGTGACAGTGATGTTGCATTGGCCCCAACCAGAAGTGTAAGTTTTGCAGTTTCTCCAGCAGACAGGGTTAAACATCACCACGATTCTGAAGAAAAAAAAAAACAGTCATTAAAGGTACGACTGATGAAAGAAGAAAAAAGGATCACCCACTGTCAAGGTAGACAGAATATTAATGACATCTTAGCCATGGAAATTGGTAATCTATAGCATTATTCATTAAAAATAATTTAAATTATATTTTTCAGACTAGTCATGTATATTGAAAGAGACAGCAGACGCCAGACCCCTCGGACACCAAAAACAACACCCCTGGAAGCACAAGAATATCTTAACCAATGTTTAGAACTCCTGGTATCTGGGATTGTCCAGCGTTTACCTTCTGTAATGGGTGAGAAGTTATGTTATTAAATTAAATTTTGTCATGATAAGTATAGTTTTATTATACAGTAAAACATTGTTAACACGAATTCGAGTAGAACAAAAATTGATTTTCTGTTGATATAATTTTGGCTAAGATTGGACTAATAATAGGAATAATAAATCCCTACTAGGACTTAAATTTTGTTTATGTTAACCAATTGTTCTTCTTAAACGAGTTTGTATTAACGAGGCCATACTGAAGCAACATATTTCATGATTAGCTTTTTTCTTTTTTATTGTAGCCTTACCTTTTACTTTCTACTTGATTAGTGTTTACTGTAAAAATACTGCTGTTTTGGCGTCGGAATGTTACAAGATTCACACTGTGGAAAAGATTGAGATAGACCTCAAACTCATCACTTAAAAGTTCCAGATAATTTACAGTGCTTTTGCAAAGTGAACCCGGTATCTTCTTATAGTTCCTAATGTGTCTCGTGAGTTGTCATGTTTGTCCCCAGCCTTCTGTCTCATATGCCGCCAGTAATTCTTAATAAAATAAATTCTTCCATTTATTGAGATGTCAGACTGTGTGACATCCTCTTTCTTGGTCTCTTATTCTTGAGTTCCGGCCCCTGGCTTTCCCCGAGATATTTTTCCCCCCTTCCTACATGTCCCGCCAGTCTGTTAGCTAGACATCGACCTGGCTGCTTTGAGATACGAAGGTAATTGATATTGTGTATTTGTGTAGTATTGTCTCATTTGTGTATGTGCTGATGAAGGCTCCATAGCTGCAACGTTCACGTTTTGTTCGTGTTTGTTATATTGTGAAGCTCGCTGGTATACTTTTTGTTCGGGTTTATATTTTTTCTTGCATCCTCACAGATCTCAGTCTTTTGTGTTCTGGATCAATTCCGCGGATGATACTCCTCCCAGCCACTGTCTTTAGCCATCTATTATCATTTCTCTTGGTCTGCCTCTGCCACATCTACTAGTTATCTTTCCAGTCATCACAATATTTTCCAGTGCTCCTTTTCTCATCACATGACCAAAGAGCTTTGTTTGTCTCCTTCTCATTGTTGTATATAATGACTTTTCTGTTGCTGTGTGCATTTTACTTTTGCCCTTTTCATGACTTGAAAAATATCCGCCAGGCAATAAATTATGCAATCTGTTGACTTCTTTGTTCTATTGCACTTATGCTTCTTCTTCTGCCTTCAATCCAAAAGGGCGGTTGACACGTTGTGTTGTGGTTTATAGCTAGGCCATGATATCTGCAACTTTTGGCACAATTTCAGCAAATATCTAATTAATTTAAATAATGTGGACACAAACAATACATTGCACAATTTATTGACAGGCATATTTCACTATATCTCTTCAGGTGCGTTACTACAGAGTTACATCAACATAAAATAAAGCACACACACACAAACAAACAAAATGAGTAAATGCAACTGAAATGCAAATAGTTTTTTTGTTTTGTTGACAGTGCATCCTGGTTTGTCATAGGAAGTTCACTGTAGTCACGTGACTTACCAGGGTAACTTCAACTTTACTATAAATTGTGTCTGCTCAGAAAGGACTGGATTGTTGATTTTAATTGTTAAAGCTTCGGCCATTCATAGCAGTTACCTATTTGGTGTGTGGTAAACCACATAGAAAGTACTTTCTTTGTCAATTGCATGTCCGGAATTAAGCAAGTGACATCCTGTAAAAGAAGTGGGTTCTAAAGAATCATGAAGTGACTACAGTGAACTTTCGGTGACTAGACAAACATGATGCCTCGAAAGAAACTATTCCCATTTCAGTTGGATTTTTTCAGTTTTTATTCTTCATTTTGTGGTGGTAAAACTCTATGTTTAAATCCATCACAGGAAAACATAGCTTTGAATATCTAATTAATTGCCTTTATGTCATGCTTGTTAAGGTGGCGGTGGGTCTGTTTTGTGGCTTTCCAAAATGGGACTCAGAATCCACACTTAGATCTATAAAAATGTGTCTCCAGGAATCAGAAATGTATTTCTCTTTACTGCAGATGAGATTCTAGACAGTCTGGACCAAGTTGGTGGACGCAAACATCCCAGCAACGTACAGGCCAAGCAGTTAAAGTCAGCTCTGCCACTGATCCCAGTTTTTAATTATTTGATCACTAGCCAGGTACTGTTACATGCTTGAGACCTTTTTAACTCATTAAAACACTAGGTTCTCAATCAGTCTAAAAACAGTCTAAAAACACACTGTGGTATGCTTGAGACCTTTTTAACACACTGAAACACTAGGTTCTCAATCAGTCTAAAAACATACTGTTGTATGCTTGAGACCATTTTAACACATTAAAACACTAGGTTCTCTATCAGTCTAAAAACAGTATAAAAACATACTGTTATATACTTGAGACCTTTTTAACACATTAAAACACTAGGTTCTCAATCAGTCTAAAAACAGTCTTAAAACATACTGTTGTATGCTTGAGACCTTTTTAACACATTAAAACACTAGGTTCTTAATCAGTCTAAAAACAATCTCAATCAGTCTAAAAACAGTCTAAAAACATACTGTGGTATGCTTGAGACCTTTTTAACTCATTAAAACACTAGGTTCTCAATCAGTCTAAAAACAGTCTAAAAACATACTGTGGTATGCTTGAGACCTTTTTAACACACTGAAACACTAGGTTCTCAATCAGTCTAAAAACATACTGTGGTATGCTTGAGACCTTTTTAACACACTGAAACACTAGGTTCTCAATCATTCTAAAAACAGTATAAAAACATACTGTTATATACTTGAGACCTTTTTAACACATTAAAACACTAGGTTCTTAATCAGTCTAAAAACAATCTCAATCAGTCTAAAAACAATCTAAAAAAGACTGCAAAAGATTGGGAAGAGAGAAGATAGAAAATGGTAAGAAAATAGAAAGTATATGTTAGCTTTACAAAACTACTTACAATAAATATACAGAGGATGCTGCAGGGAATACCTTCATTAGCAAAACAACAAGAAACAAAACACAATGCACTGAAATGAACTGACTGAAATGACTACATTACGGTGTTCAAATATTTGTTCAAGGGAGAATTGTAAAAGTCTGACTATGGAGGTGATGGTAGCAACAAAAGCAGTGATATGGCTAGAGACACACATTTTTCCCATGCCTGTGTTTTAAGTGATCCATGAGCATGCTTAAGAAGAGAGAGACAGGATGGATTTGAAGAAAATGGTTGGATTCGTGATTAAATCTCTTCTTAATCTAATTAAGTTTTATTTTTGTGCCAAGACCCTCTGGGATAAGAGGGAATAAATGAGCGGATTGGTCTTGCTGGCAGGCCATGGTAGGTACAGGAAAAGCAATGGACGGGGCCGACATTCTCAATGCTCTCAAGGAGAAAGGACGAGAAGATGATTCAAGAGACAACATTGAATTAGCAACACTCAAAAGACTACAAACACTTCGGATCAGAAGAGTTATTGCAAAATGTGAACACAATACAGGCAGACATGACTAATAATAAACCAACACAGACTTGGTGTTATCAGTCGCCACACGCTGGGGGATATACAATGGATGCGATCAAGTGCTTATGGACTTGTGCAGTGAAGATAATCTTTGGATTAACTAACTAACTATTCAGATATTTTGTAAACAAATAAAATTAAATAATAATAAATGACAGAATTGTATAAAGTAATTATTAATACTTACCTGGACTGCTTTCCACTGTATAAAGAACAGATGCGAAGCAGGTATCACTCTCATTCCGGAGGTCTGAGTTCATTTCGTTGGTAAGCTGATGGACATTTTTCCTGTTGGGGATGGAATTCCGACCCCTGAGTACAGTCCATGATGACTGAGTTAGTCATGTGGCCAAATTCTCTGGCTCAAGAACCTCCTGAGTTCATCATCATCATCATCATCATCACCATCACTTTCATTATCGTTAGTCATTATGTGCCCTGCTGACCATCCCACACTATAACCAAAAGCATGAATCAAATGACTTGCTGTTGTTTCACCTCATCCATGCAGCCAAGCTATCCAAGTATGTATCTCCCAGCCTACTTCTTGATCTCTTTCAATCTTCTGCATTTTTCAAATAGAAGCAAACACAAATATTTATTTTCTGTCCTTCATTGCTTATTGGAGAGGAGTGGCTGTCAAGCGGTTATAGATGCTGGGATCTCATCTAGGAGACCCCAGTTTGAATCCTCAATAGATTTGTGGATTTTTTCAGGCAGTGGCAATAATAGAATCTTTTTCCTCATTTATCCAGTTGACCTGATTGTATTGTGCCTGTTTACACCATAGCTGTGAAATTTGCTGACAGGATGTAGCCTTAATTGTGCGGTGTTCTCTTTGTTCCTTCATCTGCAGGCGTCGTCCATTAGAAACCAATCAAGGGCAACTCCGAGTAGGCTGGTCAGCCCTCAAGGGAAAGGTGAGGGGGGGGGGGGGGGGGCAGCACATGGGAATAACTTGCACAGTCCATAGCATCTGATCTATGGCCCTACATTTTCAGCCTCAAGATCACCCCTCTCCCCATTACAATGCCTCAAAAAGTGGTAAATGGGAGCAGGAAATACGGTTATTGTTTTTTATTTTTTTAAATTTTTAGCTTGAGCATGGCCAAAAGGCAACTCATGCCAGATATCTTGTTTTTTTTTTTACCTTGTCCTGCAGTTGACTCTCTGTCCTTCCCATAATTTTTTTACATCATTCTTATTCTTGTCTCCTTCTTCTTTAGTCTTTATTTATATTGTTGACGCCTGTGTACTATTGCAAGGACATTCTAGTCATAATATTTTCAGGTAATCAGGTTGTTTCTCTATATATGTCGAATTGAGTCCTAGCTTGAAAACTTGATTCCTAAAATTTGTTTTGTTCTATCCCAAAGTTCTGACATTGGGCAATGGGCAAGTAATTGGAAAATTGTACTGAGTGTCTGAAGATGTGAGGATCCTTTTGTAGACCAATCAGCACTCACTGGATGATGTGGTCAACATCACACTGGCCACCTTTACTTTCCAGAACTTTACTTGTTAGCCATTTTTGGCTGGGCCGACCTAGGAGCCAAGGTCATTCAAACAAACCTGGCTTAATGCCGATTTGAACCTAAAACCTTTGGGCCTGAGGTGAGCATCTAGCCGCTAATCCACGGTGGCTCCCTTCCAAAGTTGTGGATATTATGCACTGAATTTCAATGGTGCAGTACCCTAAAGATTTTGCCATATTTTCTCCTCTGACAGGTGTTTCGAACTTGCATCGTAAATGATCAGTTTTTTGATCAATATGTCAGACTCATAAATCATGTGGTCAGCATTGAAAGTGGAGAGACCAACATTGAGTCAGCATCAGGTATGTGGACCACTAAAGCGTATTGTTATGTTGATGGCTTGGGTCGTCAGCTGATCGGTGAAACATTTTTAGGTTTCATATATGAATTATGAGAACACCATTGATAGCCAAAAAGTTAACACTCTTAGTTTTGTAGATGAGTGGTGAAAACACCATGGATAGCTAATTAGTTAAAAATTATGTGGAAACTGCAAAGATGTCGTTTTATAAAAGTATGATGAAAATACTATGGGTGTAAAAAAGAATGTATGGACGACTTCTGCATTATAAAAGGCATCAAACAATTTTGTTTCAACAGAAGACATTATCCAACACTTGTCAGGAACAGTTACTTTGTACTGATATTTGAATATCACAGTTATCAAATACCATTGTCAGGAACATTTACTTTGTACTGATATTTGAATGTCACAGTTATCAAATACCATTGTCAGGAACAGTTACTTTATACTGATATTTGAATGTCACAGTTATCAGATACCATTGTCAGGAACAGGTACTTTATACTGATATTTGAATGTCACAGTTATCAAATACCATTGTCAGGAACAGTTACTTTATACTGATATTTGAATGTCTCAGTTATCAAATACCATTGTCAGGAACAGTTACTTTATACTGATATTTGAATGTCACAGTTATCAAATACCATTGTCAGGAACAGTTACTTTATACTGATATTTGAATGTCACAGTTATCAAATACCATTGTCAGGAACAGTTACTTTATACTGATATTTTAATGTCATAGTTATCAAATACCATTGTCAGGAACAGTTACTTTATGCTGATATTTGAATGTCACAGTTATCAAATACCATTGTCAGGAACAGTTACTTTATACTGATATTTGAATGTCACTGTTATCAAATACCATTGTCAGGAACAGTTACTTTATACTGATATTTGAATGTCACAGTTATCAAATACCATTGTCAGGAACAGTTACTTGATACTTATATTTGAATGTCACAGTTATCAAATACCATTGTCAGGAACAGGTACTTTATACTGATATTTGAATGTCACTGTTATCAAATACCATTGTCAGGAACAGTTACTTTATACTGATATTTGAATGTCACTGTTATCAAATACCATTGTCAGGAACAGGTACTTTATACTGATATTTGAATGTCACAGTTATCAAATACCATTGTCAGGAACAGGTACTTTATACTGATATTTTCATGTCACAGTTATCAAATACCATTGTCAGGAACAGGTACTTTATACTGATATTTTCATGTCATAGTAGAGGACAGTTATCCAACACCATTGTCAGGGAGAGTTACAGTCACACTGATGATTCTTCATGCTTTACAAGAAAACCGTTTAGCTAAACTGGCAACTTTATCCATCCTCAGCTGCCATCAGTGGGTCGGAGTTTGTGAGCTCCTCTCTCAGCATTCTGGAAGGCATTTCCCAGCATCCAGTTCTCCTGACTCAGCACAATGTGATTGTCATGAAGGAGGTTTTGCCAAGCCTGGCTTCACTCATTGCTTGTCAAAGTGGTAAGTTCTTGGGCTATCTTCTCCACCAGTCGAGGTATTCACAGCTATGAAAAAACACATAGATATAGTCAGTCAGTTGTTCATTTACTTTGGGAATGAATGATAATAGCATGGTACTGTTTCGCTAGGATAAATAAACAAGAAACAAAAATAACACTTGTTCAAGTTGAAAGGTAAAGGACAGGTTCTTAGCATGTAAAGTTTCACACGTAAAAAAGGTAAAGGTAAAGTCGGGAAATGTGAACCAGCGTCATTACACATGGTTATAAACCATAAGTGCTCTGCCACCAGTATGGACAGCTGATAAGAAACTGTCCGCCTGTGTCGCCGACCACACACAACTCCGTAGCTACAGTGACGTTCCTCCATTGAACCCAGAGCGTTAATTTGGGTACCCATTACCTAAAGGCTGGGTGAACCCCTGGAACTGCCCGGTTTCAAACTCCGGCTGTGCCCTGCAACGAGTCGTAGTTGGATTTGAAAGCGACTCTCCTATCGACTCGAGTAAGAAGTCGAAACAAGGACCTGCAATCTCGTATGCTCTTTAACTCAGACATTGATATTCTTTTTTTGAGTGTATCAAAACACAAAATGATTGCATTTTATGTCTAGGTATGGCTGACATCAGAAGGCAACTCTATCAGCTTTTTTTTTCATGATAATCAAACGCACAAGATTTTTTTGTCTTCCAAGAAGGGATTATTAATCAAAAGGTTTCCTTTACGAGGATCCTCATATTCAGGGAAAGAATTATCAGTTTTCAGCTAATGTCTTTAAATGCTGACTTGTTATGTTCAGTATCACATGTACCTGTTTGATTCCCATCCTTGAGGTGGTAATCTTTCAGACTGCAATCCTGTAATTGACAAACGATCTACTCTGGTCCACTTTCTGATTAGGCAGAAATTTATGGCCGCCCACCTTGATTTGCCATGGCCTATCACTGGGCCCTGGCCCATAGGTTGAAGAATACAGGTCTAGCCTGTTGTCTGCAGACCTTCTTGTGAATTCTGCTATTGCAAATTTGTTAAGTTGGATTGTCCACAAAGCCTCACAGTGTCTGAAACAAAAACCCGTCTTAACTCTGGATTGACCCAGACAGTTGTTCAAGGCAAAAACAAAATGGGCTGTCCACTAAGCTACCTTCACTTGTAGCTGCCTAGCAACTGTAGTTACTTACTAAATCTAGCATCTTCAAGATGCCAAGACTATTGATTACTGAAAAGTAGACAAAGACAGTCTGTGTTTTCCAGGCATGTTTTAAGAAGGACTGGACTTGAGAACTTGATAGCAACTAGCAACATTGATGGAAAGAGAGTGAGAAGAAGGCAAAGAAATACCTGGATCACATTTGCGTATGGATAGGGTCAGACAAGAACACTAACCTGATCTGAAATTCTGGTCATCGTGTGAGATGGAGAAGCACGATAGCCTACACTTACTGGCATGGCACATGATAAGTAATGTGAGCAGTGGTAATGGTATTTATGGTAGAGGTTCCATTGGGAAGTAGATCAATAAATTCCAAGTAAAAACATATCTATATACCTGCCACTTAAGCATAAGTTGAATGCAAATGCACACTAGGTAAATTAAGAGTGATACAAGCGGATAACATCAAAATACTAACAGACAGCAGTCTGTCAGTGTACAATCATGATGAAGGACAGACAGTATTTCTTCTTCTTTGCTCACTGGTTGTAAGCTCTGGTGGAAAGTCCTGGTTGTTCCTCCATTTGGACTTTGGCTTCGTGCCAAGGCCTGAGTTTTGTGTGCACATTCATTATACTGGATTACTCATTATACTGGATTACTCATTATACTGGATTACTCATTATACTAGATTACTCATTATACTGGATTACTCTTTGTACTGGATTACTCATTATACTGGATTACTCATTATACTGGATTACTCATTATACTGGATTACTCATTATACTGGATTACTCATTATACTGGATTACTCATTATACTGGATTACTCATTATACTGGATTACTCATTATACTGGATTACTCATTATACTGGATTACTCATTATACTGGATTACTCATTATACTGGATTACTCATTATACTGGATTACTCATTATACTGGATTACTCATTATACTGGATTACTTCTGTGCAGTTGGTTGTTCCTTGCTACTCAGGCATATGCACTCCAACCTCAAAGGAACTCCCCAGTTAGTTGACTCATTGAGGCAGTGGGTCTATTCTTGTTATCCCAACAGTTAGGCCCTAGAAGTCACATAAAGAAGAAAGTATTTGAAACCTTTTGCAGCTTCCTTAATTGATTGGTAAAAGCATAATTAGGGATAACCCTCAAGGCCTATATACTCTAAGACTATTCAATACATGAGGGCTGAAATAGTCAGTATTCATCATCATCCAGTAGTTCCTTTGCAGTCACTCATATCACAGCTCACCTGAAAGACACTGGGTCTCCCAGATGGACCGCCTGATGCACTTTCCTACTCATGTCACTTATATCCTGTGCCTGTCTCCATGCTAGTCGGCCTCTTCAATTATTTCTTGGCACCATGCTTTCTATACTATTCTACCAATCAGTCAGGATTATGCCAGCCATTTTACCTTCCTAGATAAATAACACAACATGATAAATAATAAATGTTGATATAAACACTAATAAGCGTTGTTATAATATCCTTTTTCTCCACATTGTCAAGCTGATACCAAAGCCCAAGCTCTGCAGCTTTTCGGGGAGATTGCATCAGTCTTTCTGTCACAGGACCAGCTAGGCATTGTTGAGACTAAAGTCAACACAGTCCAGTTACACACTATTATATCAGAGAGACTCCTTCCACTGTGAGTAGGTTTTCACCCTCAGATTTTAATGTACATATATAGTCATTTTATCCTATGTTTATAACTGGTGCAAAAAGGTGTAGCTTCTGATTTTAAAAAAGAAGTAAATTCTTATTCTCAGTCTCTGGTATTTCTATCCTATTTTCTTAACATGAAGCAAAAGCAGTGGCTTCTCACCTTTTTTTTTTCTTAGTTATTGTATCCAGTTTTTTTAAACAGTGTGTAATAAAGTTAATGGCTTGTAAATTTTAAGGTGTCCAGTCATTTTATAAAGTTATCCTAATTTGAGATAAAGGTAGTTTTAGATGTAATCGTTCAGTTTGCAGTTTAAAATTAATAAGATCTCTTTTGTGCCTTTAATTACAATTTATGTTTGCATTGCTCTTTGTTAAACTTTAATATTATCTTGCCAACCTAACCAGTTTCATTTTGAATGTTAATCTGGCATTAAAAGTCTATGGTAAAACTCCAGCAAAACATAAGTAAACATTTTGAGAAGAATGAATCTCTTCTGTTGTAACCTGCTGATGGGAATTAAGGATAATTTTACAATTACTTAAGATTGCATCTTGCAGTTTACGAATGCACATTGTTCTGAGACCCTTGGAGATTGTCACTGGAGCTTTAATGTTTTCTGCTGTGCTGTCTGCAGATACTTCAGAGAGAGAGAGAGAGAGAGGGGGGGAGAAAGAGAAAGAGAGAGAGAGAGAGAGAGAGAGAGAGAGAGAGAGAGAGAGAGAGAGAGAGAGAGAGAGAGAGAGAGAGAGCAAGTCATATGGAATAAAGCCTGGTGCAATGAAGTCAATTCTTTTGACATTAAACAAGAAAATTGAGATTTCTAAGCTTAAATGTTTATAAATCCAGAAGAAAGAAAATTGTGATATTCTGCAATATCTGACTATTGAAGAAAATTGTTTCATAAGCACCATTGTGTTTTACTATTAATAAATTCAATACCTTCCTGGAACTGGGCAAAAAGTAGAATATACTTTGCACGTACTTGATATTTTACAGATTCCTCTGTAGTTTCAAACTATAAAATGTTTTTTGAATTTTGCAACTTCTCAAGCTTATTTGAAAAATAAAACTGCCCACAATATAATATTTATAGCATGCAAGTCACTAATATGGATGATGATATAAAAAGTTAACAGAAAATCAGCACGATAGTTTTCCAAAAATCGAAATTTGTAACTAGTCATAAAGCTAGATTTTTGATGGGTGGAGTCATCTATGTGTGTGTGTGTGTGTGTGTATATATATATATATATATATATATATATATATATATATATATATATATATATATATATATATATATATATATATATATATATATATATATATATATATATATATACACACACACAAGCACGCGTACGTGCACCTGGTGCTGATAGAATTTTGGAATTGCAGCTGAACTTTTAAAAGAAGGTGATCTTGCATTACATGCAAAGATATATCTATTAATAAAACTAATTTAGAAGACGGAGAAATTACCCCATGAATGGAAAGTGTCTTTAATAATACCCATTTTTAAGAAAGGAGACAAGTATAAGTATGAAAATTTTAGAGGAATATCACTATCATCTGCAAGCTATAAGAAACTATTGGCGGTACTGCTAAACAGGCTTAAACCATACGTCGAAGACATATTTGGAGATTACCTAGCGGGTTTCCGACAGAACAGGTCAACAATAGATCAGATATTCATTTTACGGCAAATAGTAGAGCAAAATGGGGAATATAGAAAAGATGTAAATAATAAACATATGATCAGTATGCCACAGTGTGTCTTTACTTCACAGAAGTTTTTTTTCTGGTACATATTTTATGCTGTTTCAACATGGTAAAGCAGCTGACATTTTAAGAAATCCATCTCTAGATTGGGATTTAAAATATGTGAATTCAGGACAACA